TAATCTTCGTGATAATATAGTTACATGCGAGAATTATTCGTTTGATTTCAAGAATCAGCCCCCTGTACCACGGACAAACATCTCTGTGCATTGAATTCTAAACTCTTATATGCAACTACTACGACTTTAACTACTTCTACTATACAGTTCTTCTACTGTCTACAACTACTATATATTATAGAATTACATTATTTTTTATTACTATAGTCTATAATAGTACACTATACGTCTATACACACCAGAATTGTTCAAACTGTAGCACTTCTATAGTTTAAATACTAATATAGGTAATAGGTATTATATAGGTAAATACAAATATAAAACTATAATGAGAGTAAAAAACTATTATAAATTAAAATTTATATTTAATTTTCCTATATTATTATGTATTATGTTATGTAGGAACATTTAAAATTATAGATTATTTTAATATAGATATGAATAATATGAAAAATACTACCCACTACATAATATTATGATATAGTTCCCAAATTATAGCCTAATACTATTAACTAGTTTACAGTTTTACATTTTATAGTCCTATGGTAGGAATGTAACCTTTTAGACTATATCGTTTTGGTGGATATACTGGATAGTTACATTGTTATATAATTATAGTCATTGTCGTCTTAAGGCATGGGTGATGGGCCCGTTGGGCTCTGGCCCGGGGTCCCAAATTCACATAGATTAAATTATTTATTGAATATCAAAATTTTATATTTTTTTAAAATGAAATAGACTAGAAGAAACATTTCAAAACATAATAATATCTTTACGAATTTTTTTACCAATGATGACTACCAACTGTATTGGGGAACGTTAATTTTCTAAGTTAAATTTAATTAAAGAAGAGCTTAGAAGTACCATGAGCCAGAAACAGTTAAACTCCTTATGTTTAATGAGTATTGAACATGAACTACTATCGAGTGCAGATTAGGTATACAAATTTTAAAAAAGACTTTTGAATGAAAAAGCTAGGAAGAAACTATTAAAGGGTATTTAATAACTGACAAATTTATATCAATACATATAGTCGTTATTTTAGTTTTTGTTTAATGAATTACATTTATTTTTAACTATAAGACATATAAATGTATGAATAATTAATATCTTGACGTTTTAATTAATAGGAAAGTATTTTTTGAAACTATAATAAACAATAAAGTACCTAATAGAAATTTAAACAAAAATTCACTTTTTACTAATAAAGTATAATATTTAATAAATAATAATACATTATTTGTTAAAAATGTATATATTATAATTTAGTGTTATAAGGCCTCCGAAATATGTTTGGCCCGGAGCCCCATAAAACCGTAAGACGGCCCTGATTATAGGTACCTTCATAAGGATTAGGACATTAGATAGAATTGATAGGTATTTAAAATAAATTGTTTTTAATCGTATTAGTATAGGTAATAGGCATAGACATAAAAATATTTATATGTCTATGGTAATAGGTAACCTACCTACGATATTCTATAAGTTAACTGTTAACTTACTCTGGTATGCCGTGTGCCGTGTGATAACTGAACAAACTGCTGATACAATCCTGCAGCAAGGGGGTATTTTTATTCCAAAAACCAAAATTATACCGTTCTTAATATGAATTGAATAATTTTTTGAATTCGTGTCACATTGCCATAAACCGCGATTTATTGATCATGCTTCATCCAGTAATAAGTTCAACGCACCTTACAGTACCTACTATAATAACAGTCTACAGTTATTAAAGTTTATATACTAAATAACGCACTAACAATATACAGTTTATACCTGTGCCACGGCTATACTACCGTGCGTGCGTGAGCTAGTTTTAATATATTACTATAGTAGGTAACAACTAACACTGACGAAAGGTGGAATTCTGTTTTAAATAGGTCTGTTAATTAACATTTACACACATATTATGCACAGCGTCCAGTAGGTTTATGTGCCTATAGCCTATGTATATATTATTTACCTACATTATACATTTGACATTTACCTAACCCTTTTTATGTTCAAACTCAAACGACTAAATGTCAAGTAACTCAACTACCTACTCAAGTTTGAAGTTATTATATTATAAATTATATACCTGCAACGCGTGCCTATATACATTTAAAAACGTTTACAAAATTATAACAAATACTAAACGTTATATTTTGTAAAAATCTATGACAATATTCGTTGTTCATTTCAATAATATAATATATTGGCGCCATGTAAATATGTGATATGCAACTGTGGACCGTGATACCTAGTCAAAGTACGTGTCGCTTATAAATTATAATTATTTTTATGTAAGGTACATTATACAAACATTTTAATTGTAAAGTTAATTTCTTCATCAAATAATTGAATCATTATTTTTTTTTAATCCAAAAAATGTGTTTCCTATGATTAGGTATATTTGAGATACCGAGCGGAGCGGTGAATATGTGTATAGATATTAATATAATGATCTGTTTTTTCTTATAATTTATGTCTGTGTTTACGATAATACGACAAGTAGTGTAAGAATTTTTACACAAACCCAGTTTTTTACAAAATCGATTTTGTTTTTTTTTTTGTGTAGGTAACTAAAAAATAACCGTACCTATAGTCCGTTGCCCGTAGATAGATAGGTACCTAGAATGTTTGTATTAGTATTTTTTATACACCATAACATTTTTAAGCAATTTTAATTATTTTTGAAGTATTTATGGGCATGAGACATTTTCTATTTTTAATAGTTTTTTTTAATTGCTGTAGATACATTTTTTTTTGCTTGGTCAATTAACTTGAAAATTTAATACGAAGTTCCTCATAAATTGGTCGTAAACCAATTGAAAAATATCGGAATTACATCAGTATTACCCTTTTTAATCATTTGAAGTTCAAATGTTGACAAAAGTTATCAAAATCATTCTAATTTAACACATCAAATACAACAAGGGTCGCTTACCTTTCCTAACGGGGAACGGAAAAATTGTCTCGCGGAAAAAAAGTTTATTAACGGTTGAAATATGTAGGTAGGTACAATTTAAAACATTTAAAATAAAACTCATATAAACACTGTTTTTTTTTATTATTTACAATAAGGTACTCCTTAGCTTACGCTATCTTACCTAGAGATGAAGCATAAAGTACATTTTGGCGTATTAAGTGCGATAATTAAATTACAATTTTACGTTAGATGATAACAGTAGTTAGAGACTTAATTTAGGTTGTATCTTGAGGAATTAGGTCATGCGGGCGACCTCTTTTGAGACGGTGCTGTGGAGTTGGTCTGATGTTGATGTGGTAGTGCATTGAGCCTGTTGACTTGTGGATGGATTCGAAGAAGCACACAGCCGAGAGCTTGATGTAGTCTTGAAGAGTTGGAATTTTGAGGTATTTATGTATGTTTGAGTTCCTTACGAACCATGGAGCGTTTATTATCGTTCCTTAAACTTTGTTTTGAAATATTTACAGTTTTCTAAGATGAGTTTGTGCGCAATTATCCCAAATAAGGCAGGCGTAAGTGATTAATGGACGTTTAATGCTTATAAATAAGTAGGGAAAGTTTTTTATGTAGCGAAGACTTTCTTTTTAAGATAGGGAAGAGCATCCCTAGGCGTTGATAGGCTTGTTGAAGTTTAGATGAGAGATGTGGCCACCAGGTTAATATTTTGTCCAACGTTACGCCAAGGTACTTGACGGAAGGCTTCCATGCGATTGGTTCGTTGTTGAAAGTTAGTGGTGGTGGAGTAGGATTATGGCGTAGACTGAATAATACACTTTCGCTTTTTGATGGGTTAATTAATATTTTCCAGTTCTTGCACCAGGCAGATAATGTATTTAAGTGGTTTTGTAGATGTACAGATATCGTATGTGGGTTGCGAAATTCAGAGTAAATGACAGTATCGTCCGCGAAGAGGGCTATGTTTGTGTGCAGAGACTGCGGGGTATCGGATGTGTAAATGTTAAATAAAGTTGGGCCAAGTATAGATCCTTGTGGGACGCCAGCTAAGATTGGTTGGAAAGATGAAAAGTAGTCATTTATTTTAACTGAAAATTGCCTGTTAGATAGAAATTAAGTTAGGGAGTCTAGTAGATAATTTGGTGTGTTGATAATTTTGAGCTTGTACAACAACCCATGATGCCATACCTTATCAAAGGCCTTAGAGATGTCAATGAAAACGACACTCGTGTGACAGTGTTTTTCAAATGAGTTGCTTATATGTTCAGTTATAAGCATGAGTTGTTGTGTAGTAGAATTATGTGCTTTGAAACCAAATTGGAATTTTGGAATTGTGTCTGTACAGTATAGGAAGTTTTGCAGTCTCGAGAGGATGACTTTTTCAAAAATCTTAGATAACGAAGTTAGTAGACTAATTGGTCTGTAACTGTCAGGGTCTGTTTTATCTTTCCCAGGTTTTTTTATGAGTATTATGATTGCTTTTTTCCAGTTTTCCGGGAATAAACACTGTATAATATATATTCTCTCTTAAACATAATTGTAATTTAGTTTAATTTTTCTGTCATATATGTCATTGTAACTATTGTAATGGTGCAATTTTGAAAAATATTTTCAAAAGTGTTTCCAACCCGTTTACTGTTATAAATATAAAATATGTTAGTTTTGATGTGAAAAATATAATAAAATAAAATATTATCTAACAACCCGTTTTAATATTTGTATTAGATTGTGAATAACTCCATACAGTGACATCTGGTATAGTATGTTGTTTAGTGCAGTAGGTGTGACACAGACGTAGACAGAGTTCGACAATACGCTTATTTTAAATAGTTTAAAGTTTAAAACAGTTTTAATTTTTCAAAAATAGAAATTTATTACATTTTTACATAGGATTTTCATTATTTTATATTTTTTTTCTATTCTATATACATTTTCCTGATTATTTTTTCCTCCGAAACTGGCAATAATTACTCCTTAATATTAGAGCAACCCGCAACACACATTACATAACTCGTCACAGGCGCCGGCCGATCGGACACGTGACTGACATATATTTTACCCCTTCTCCATCAAATACGATCTGGTTGTTCTAGAATCGACACAATCCGTGTGTTCCTAAACTTTTGCATATTGTTATCAAATCCATCGGGTTTCATTTCAGTCCATCCTTTAGAATAGCAGATTGCTGATAAGTCAATCGGCTTGATTACCTCCCCTCCAGCGGCTGACCAATCTGACGAATTTAGGAACACACGGAATATCATGACTCAATATTAGTCATGCTGACATTCCTGGGTTACCAGTCGGCACTCGGCAGTCAGTCGATCGGTTGATCATGCGCGGAAACCTTGTTGCTTCGATGCTTAATGTTTTTTTTGTAAGGATAGAACGTAGTCAATATCTATACTAAAATTGCATGGTTAAATTTGTAATATTATTCATTTTATGTTTTTTATGTTAAGTAACCTAAATATATAAACCGCTCCCAAGTCGACCAACAGTATAATTCTTTTCTATAATTCATTACACATCTATTCGTTGGAAGGTAAAGTACTGTTTCGAGAGTTCGACCAGAGTTCTTCAGTTTTCTTTCAACGTAATTATGTTTCTCTGTAATATATGTAAAACACCCTTTACATTAATTAAAAATCTACACAGACATTGCAAGAATAAACATGGTAAGTATTTTTTAACTATATACAGATTTATAAGTATTATATTATGTTTAACTATTACACATTATTCCGCCAAAGCTCAATATATAATAATATAATAATATAATAATTAATGTGTTGAACTAAGTGTAATTTGTTCGAGGTCTTTTTTCAAATGTCTTATTTATAATAATACTATTTTCAGGTTCAAATATGCTAATTCAACAACAATCAACAACAACCAATGGTAAATATATTATTATTTATTCATAACATTATACATTTATATAACTTACTTAGGCAATAGATTATATTACTTTATAAAAATTACAACACTTCATGTAAGAATATAACTTGATCGAAGAATTATTAAAAAAATATTGCTTTATACCAAAATTTAAAACAAAAATTATTTAATTTTTTTTTTCTTCGAAATGTCATAAAACAATACCTATAGGTACTAATATAATCGTCTTAGTGAAATTACATAACAACTACGGAAACATCACCGCTTCTTAGAAAAAAATTGGAAAAATATATCCAAAGTTGTATAAAATCATGAAACAATATCATAATTTAGATAAAATGATGTATAATATTATTATAGTTAACTCCGTTATTAAGAACATACATAAATATTAAAAATAATTTTGTCAAGTTCATGTAGTAATCTCTTAAATCAATTGAAAATATTTCGAGACGATTAATATCATAAAGTTATAAAAAACATACACTAATAATTTTAAAATTATTATACCTATATATTCGTAAATCTATAGACAGATATTTTGATAAATATATTTGAAAATATACATATTTATATAATAATTTAAAAATTACATAATTCAAACAAGAACACAAGTTAATGTTAAACATTTCTATAATTCTATATAAAACGTTCAACTTTTTCATAAACCAATTTGCAATCTTCTCATATACATATAATATAACCACGCATGTAGTTCATTTTTCCGATTCAAACTACCTACATAAAAAGATTTTCATTCATTTTTTTTCCTATACACTTTTTTTCTTTGATAAGTATAAAATAGTAAAATATTTATTTGATTTCAGTTCCAGCTGCTTCAATTCGCAATGGTCTTAAGCGTGCACATCACGGGGAAAATTCAAACGAAGCAGTAAATGCTAAAAAAACACTCATGAATACCCATGGTTTTGTTAAGACAGGCACATCGCTCTCAAATAAAATCAATTGGTATTACATGGAAAATACAGACAATTTAACCAACTACAGTAGTTTTCTAGAAACATCCAAAAAAGACTTATTACAATTACTACACTCGCTATCGGAAAAACACCCAATCAAATATAATTTAAAACTGGAAGCAACCTATGAGCGTCCGAACGTAGAAAATTCGTCGGAAAATCGTGCGTTTAAAACTTCAGCCAGAGAAATTTTTATGGCTACAGATATCGAGGCTAAGATTGATATCGATTTTGCCAAACTTATATCTGAAGAAGACGTTTACACTTCTAAAGGAAGCGGATTTAGTTTAGAGTCTATAGATGGCATATTATTATGCGTATATAATTATACACCTCTGGGTGGCTCATCATATATTCCGATACCAAAAGACATCAAAAATAAAAAAGCAATTATCAACCCCCAAAACTCAGACCAACAGTGCTTCAAGTGGGCAATTCTGGCAAGACACGTTTCGGGTAATGCCAAAAATCAAGTGGCTAAAAATTATACTTTACTAGAAGAAAAATTTAATTTTACTGATTTAACATTCCCAACACCCATCACAGAAATAAAGATATTTGAAAAAAATAACCTGAACACGTCTGTCAATGTATACGGAATTAAACAAGAAAATAATAAAAAACATATTATTTTCCCACTTAAAGTTGTGGATGAAGTAAAAAAAGATCATTTCGATCTTTTGCTAATTACCGACGGAGGTAAAAGCCACTACACATTCATCTCAAATTTTTCACGTCTTGTTAGAGCACAAAAAACATCACATGAGGCTAAAGTAATTTTTTGTAAACGATGTTTTACCAGTTTTGATAGTCGAGCCAGGAAAAATATACTAAGCGGACAAGCAGCATTAGATCAACACACCCGGGTATGTGGAACACACAAACCAATTTTACCTCAGATGCCTGATGCAGGTACAATGCTAGAGTTCGATGGGTGGAGTAAGACTCAACGCCATCCGATAGTCATCTATGCAGACTTTGAGGCGCTTCTTGTTAAATGTAAAGAAAGCAGAGGAAAGAATACATCAGCTTTTCAAAAGCACGAGGCAATGAGCTATGGAATTTTCGTAAAGGCTTCAGAAAGCGTTCCCATAGATTTATTAGAAAAGTTTAATTTACCACAAAAACCTATTATTTTCCGTGGTAATGAATCACGTCAAGACGTAGCCAAAAGATTCGTGAATGAACTGACTGAGATTGCAATAAAAGTTGAAAATTTGATTAAGACAAATAAACCTTTAATAATGACTGAAGAAGAACAAAGAACACACGTAATGAAAATTACTTGCAATTTATGTGAGTGTATTTTTTCCGATAAAAACCCAAAAGTGGCAGATCACTGTCATCTATCTGGCAAATTCAGGCAAACTTTATGTAATACTTGCAACCTGAAACTTCAAAAACCTAACTTTGTACCGTGCTTTCTACACAATTTGTCTAATTACGATGCACATTTCATCGTGACTGAACTCGGAAATAACACTAACTCAATCTCAGTGATTCCGAACAGCAAGGAAAAATACATTTCATTTTCAAAACACGTTACCAACAACTTTTCAATTCGATTCATAGACTCTTGTCGATTCATGGCATCAAAGTTATCAACACTCGCAGAAAATTTACTAACACCAGGGTTCGAGAAGTTCAGAGAAACCGCAAAAGAATTCGTACCCAGAGATATGGATCTCGTCACACGTAAGGGTGTGTACCCTTACGAGTTTACCGATAGTTGGGAAAAATTAGAAGAAACAATTTTACCAAGGAAAGAAGATTTTTATAGCACATTAACAGAAGAACATATAGACGATACGGAATACGAACATGCAGTCACAGTATGGAACCATTTCAAATGCAAAACCCTGGGAGAATATAGCGATTTATATCTAAAAATTGACGTGCTACTGTTAGCGGACGTATTTGAAAATTTCAGAGACATGTGCATTTCTACTTACAATTTAGACCCTGTTTTCTACTATACAGCTCCAGGTTTTAGTTTTGACTGTATGTTAAAATATACCAAAGTCAAACTAGAATTGCTCTCTGATTATGACACCCACTTATTTTTCGAAAATTCAATCCGCGGTGGCCTCACACAAGCAAGTATGAGATACGCGAAAGCTAATAATGAAAAAACCCAAGATTATGACCCAACAAAGTCAAAATCATGGATAGTTTACCAAGATTGTAACAATTTGTATGGGTGGGCAATGTCACAACACATGCCATACGGAGACTTTAAATGGGTTGAGCCTACGTTAGACGGATTAGATGCTTTAACGCCGACTTCAGATAAAGGCAGAGTGTATGAGGTGGACATATCATACCCTAATGAACTACATGACTTGCATAACGATCTTCCATTTTTACCAGAGAACAAAATTCCCCCTGGTTCAAAAGTGAAAAAACTTATGGCAACACTTCATTCAAAAAAAAATTACGTACTCCACTATCGCAACCTGCAGCAAGCCATAGCAAATGGATTAATTGTAGAAAAAGTACACAGAGTTTTTGAGTTTCGACAATCGGATTGGCTTAAAAAATACATACAATTGAACACCGAGATGAGAAAAAAAGCTGTTAACGAGTTTGAGAAAGATTTCTTCAAACTCTTAAACAATGCCGTTTTTGGTAAGACCATGGAATCATTACGGAAACGTTTTAAGATGGAGCTAGTTTCGTGTCCAAAAAGACTACAAAAGCTAATCAACAAATATAACTTTAAAAATTGCATTAAGTACAACGACAATCTAACTGCTGTTTTGATGGAAAATAAAATTATCAAGTTTTCCAAGCCAATATATATAGGTGTCTATTACATACGCACACAAAAATGTTATGTTTTAATTTTTAATTAATTGATTATTATTTTTATTATAGGTTTTGCAGTACTAGATGTAAGTAAGTGGTTGATGTACGAGTATCATTATGGTACTATGAAGAGTCATTTCAGAGACAAAATCAACCTCATGTATACAGATACAGGTAAAAATTTTAAAACCAACTTTATTTTCTTATACTAACTAACATTATTTTTTTTAGATTCACTGGTATATCATATTGAGACTGACGATTTTTACAAAGATTTGAAGAGCAATTCAAACTTACTTAAGTGTATGGATACTTCAGACCTGCCTAGAGATCACCCTTGCTATATAGGTGAACGAAAAAAGATTCCAGGGCTGTTTTCCGACGAGGCAAAGGGACAGACAATTACTAAGTTCATCGCGCTTCGCGCAAAATCGTACGCTTACATTTTGAACGATAAGGAGAATATTAAGGCAAAGGGCGTCCGAGGGCATGTAGCTAAAAAGCACATGACTTTCAACGATCATTACGATTGCCTTTTCGCCGATGACGAAAAAGATAACACTGAACAGTATACTAGGGAAAATGTTTCCATCAGATCATTCAAACACGAGATACGAACAATCAAATCCAAAAAATTATGCTTCAACCGACAAGATGATAAGCGGATAGAACAGACCGATAGAATACATACCTACGCGCATGGACATAAAAATATAAATTAAAAAAATTAAAAAATACATAAAATCGATTGTTAATTGTATCTTTAAAAAACTATTTACATAAATATATATATGTATATATATACCTATATTTGTTAATAATATTTAATTTCATAAATGTTTAGGTTAATTTTTTTTATTTTGTGAAATATCTCTGTAGATATTAACTAGTTTATTGTATTGATGAAAATATCTTTATAGATATTATTTTGTTTTTATTTTTATTTTGTAAAATATATTAATAGATATTAAATTGTTTTTGCAATAATTCAAATCTTTTTCTTATTTTTATTATTTTTAATATATTGTTTTCTTTTCTCACGAGTGTAATTTTTTACATTTTAACTCGGAATAAACATACATTGTAAAGGTACATGTATATGTAGGTATGCTAGAACAATAGAAATATACTGTTATTTGTCATGGTATCGTTTATAATGGTAAATTTAGACGTTTGAATAAACATTAACTTACCATGGAATACTGAGATGAGTATTGTTTATAGTAACAGTAAAATATATAATGTATAATAATAGTTGTACTAAAAATAAAACATCCCGAGTTAATCAAATATAAGTTTTATAGTATTACACGTTAGTCAAAATAATATTGATAAAACACAGGTAGGTAGGTACTGAAATTTCATAATTTCATTAAAAATATCATCATTTTGATAGAAGCATCTATATTCTATAGTTAACATAACTTTGAAAAATTTGTTTGAAAATATCTTAAATTCGTTGGTACATTTCCATATAATAACTATAACGCTAAATGTACACACACAATTTAGACTCGGTACTAGTGTAATGATTTGTTCTTGCCTTCTTGGACTTAAACTATAATTACTATTATTTCATAATTTGATCTACATATAATTCCTATTTACAGTTTCCAATAGTAAATTTGAAATATTAGTAAAAAAAAACATTTATCCATCAGTCCACCATATTGCATTAAGTTACATTTTTTTTTTAAAGATTTATTTCGTCATTCAGATTCATCGTGATAAATAATATATTCAAAATCACTAGGTATGATAATTCAAGTCTAGGAAATAAATAAAGGTTCCTTAATGTTCCATTATGACTTCATCTGACTCTTTAATAAAAAAAATAATAATAAAGGTACCTAACTACTAGTTCACTGTGTGAACAAGTTTTGTAGCAGTATTGATACACCTACAGTTAATCATATTTTTTTTTATTTAAATAAAAACATTTTGAAAAACAATTCAAACATTGTGGTCCACAACGGAAAATCAAACAATTATCCATATGTAATATGTATTATAGCAAAAAAAGCAATTAAATACAATGTACCTACAATTTGTTAAAATAGTAAATTTTTTTTTGATATTTGGGTTATAGAATATTACAATAATAATTACAAATATTTTAATACAATATGTCCATATGGCAACTATATAATAATATTAATACCGGAAACATAATTTTTTGAATAATAATATACAGTAGGTAATGGCATTTTGTAAAACGAGTAATATTAATGGGGAATTATTTATTTAGTGCAATTATTTGGATGCAGCGAGACCTATTAAGAAATTATCTATAGGTCTATGGATAAGCGTACGCTCCTGCTTATCATTGACCATAATAGATCGTCAACAATTCCAAGAACCGCCTCAAACATACTTGCAAGCACAGGTCACAAAATTTAGTTTTTTTCATTTTTCGGTTTTTTAAATCGGTACAACACAGCTAAAACGAGGAAGATTTATTTTGTTTCTTCCCGATTTCAATTTTTGAAAAAAAACTGTCTATGTCGTAAACCACATAGTAGGCTCTTTTTTTTTAATTTCCATCATAATGTTACTGAACTATTTGTTTAGTATCGATTATGGACTACAGTTGATATATTTATATAATTATACCTGTAAAATGTATGTTACTAAAAAGTAAGCGAAACCATAAAACACATCAGGAATTCATAAATAAATGGTACTATATTTAGTCATTGATTATACAATGAATCAATGCTAATACTTACAATTAAAGGGGCTAAGAACAAGATATTTTGATCTAAATTATATTTTCATATTTCTTTAGATTATAATACATACATTATATATTATTTTATGTATGTTTTAAACTTATTATTGTGCAAATTAAAGGAATCAACTAAGTGTAATATTCACTTAAAAATATGTAGGATATTATAGTTTAAACAAAAATAAATCACAATTTATTGTACTATAAAATAATATAATACTTGATAGAAAGTTATAAATCTAGAATAAAAAAAAATTAAAAAAAAAAGAACTTAGAACATTAAGTAATAATTAAATAATTGAGTAATTTAAAATTGTGATGGTAATTTCACTAATTAAATTGACTAAATTTATATTTAAAAAATATATTATATAATTATCTATTATACAACTTAACCAACTATGTAGTTAACATATTAAAATAATAAAGCAAACACAGGAACACCAGAAAAATATTTTTAAACTACACACTTTATTACTTTTTTTGTTCTTCAATGTCAATAGTTTGCTCGTCCATGCTATAACCAGTAATGCTATCAGGACTTTGTAATGAGGCATTGTACAACGGATTTGCTATTTGTCTGTCACTAACTGAAAAACGAGTGTTGTTGTATATATTATCTGTCTGTAAAATAAAAAAAAAACATTTAATAGGAAAATATCATATGATAAATTTGTTTTAATTATCTTTAAGTAGACCTCATAAAATAATACAATTTTTTTAGTAATGAAGTTAATTAAAAAATCATTTTTCTATATTTACCTGATAAATATAGTCTGAATCAGTTTTTAAAGATGAAAATGACGGCTGATGAGGTAAAGAAACAGTATCTTCTTCAACACGATCATCGTTTTGTGCTTTATAAGAAAACATAATGCTTGATTGTGATACACTAAAATAAAATAAAAATCAACTTATAATAATAATATAAATTGTATAGTTATTATATCGCTTTTTTTTTGGAATCTCAAATAATATTTACCTAAAGAATGAGCTCAAAAACGTTATGTAGACTAGAGGAGTAAATAGTGTAAAATATAGAAATGTTGTTACATCAACAATACAAAGACCTTCTGTAATTTTTAGTAACAAAAATGCACAGCCAATAGAACCAATACCGTTTAGTTGTGCTAAAAGTGATACATATACATAAAATGACCGGTTAACTGAAATAAAAAACGTAAATTGTTAATGATTAGGAAAAATAAAAAATAATAAAATACTGAAAATATATTTTAACCAGCAATTATTATTACTATATTAAATTACTTGACTTTTACACAACTAATAAAAAGTATTACAAGTTTAAATCACATAGTTTATCAAATATCTTTAAAATGGTGTTAATTCCACAAAATAGTAAAACAGAGCAGTGTTTGTGTTTTTAAAAAACATTTTAAGTAATCCTATCAGGAAGAAGATTATTTGTAATCTGAACCAGTAGGTCATATAATCTAAATATATATTATTAGTTATAAAAAAAATCTTATAATGGCATACATATTTTAGTTTAAAAAATTAAACACTTAGAACTTAGAACATAGCTATACTTATAAGTCCATAATAATATTTTAGACTGAAATGGTTTATCTTTACTATCTACAAGATGTATAAGAAAATTATTAATCATTAGTTTATGTGTAGGTGTCTAATGAACATAATATTACTATCAATTGTGCACACACTGCATAGTAGGGTAAAATAGGCACTGTAAATTATGTGCATAGTTATCCGTATCTGGTGTTTTGTAAAGTTTTCCACAAATACAAAATTAAAGTGATAAGAAGGAAGTAAGGGATATCTACAAAGTTTATTTTTGTTATTCCACTGGATATTAAAACATAACACATTTTGGGGTTGCTTGAGTCTTTCTATGCCTTAATCAAAACAACACTTGAATTCCATCTGTGATGGGAGAGTAAAGTTTTTGTTTATTATTTTACTATGTGTAAATTCGGCAGGTAAAGGTACAATATGAATTTTAAAAAAAAATTATCACTGTAAACATCCATAAAAAAACTAAAAACAAGTGGGTTCCTAAGAATATTTTCAATACTAATAATAGCAAAAATATTAACCTGGTAATGCAAGTTTCTCTCTAAGTCTAGTTTGAGGCAATACCAATATGAGCAAATACAGCTGTAAAATAAAATGAATTCATAAATAATGATGAACATCTAATTTAAAACATTCACATATTCAATAAATTACCATAGTAAAAACGACGGAACTAATTAACCAAAATACAATACCACCATGACCAAATAAATTTAAATCCTTTGAGTTGATTCTAAAAATGGAGTCTGGCATAAAAATTTCCAAGGCTCCTTGACTAGCTGAATAAGCTAATGAAATAAATGATGTTGTAATTAGTACATATCTTATACTGCTTCTACTTTCCATATGACCTGTAATAAACATCAAATTGGTAATTTATTCTAATTGATATGACTAGTCTCAAAGTTGTTTAACTAAAACAAAATCATTAAAAACATTTAAGTTAAATTTGAATACCATATTATTTGTATTATAAATTATTTTATAAATTATTTACTTAAATTACTTAAAAATCCAACAGAAAATAATTTTTTTTTGTTCTACTCACCAAAAGCTAAGGCAAAGACTACAACACTCATTTCAGTAGCCAAAAAGAAACATTTGACTAAAATCCAAAGTGTTATATTTATGGAATCAGCGGCCAAATTACTAAAATTGAGTGTCATTGAAATTAGGCATCTTAGTATACTTGTAAATACATTGAATAAAACCTAAATATATTGTTGAATGACTATTAGTAAAATTAACACCTTACAAGTTAAGATAGCATTGTTTAAATAAACAAAGGTTTTATTAGAATATTAATAAAAATTATTTACCAAACAGTAGAATGTAAAAAAAATAGGACTATTAGCAGCTCGAAGTTTTAATCTGGCACGACTAAACTTGGTCACTAAGTACATCATGAATATTAAGTTAGGAATAAGTATTGCTACATCCCATACACGAACGCTTTAAAATAACACAATAGATATAATTAAATATTATTCTCATTCATACGGTAAATAATATCTATATGAAATCAGAAATAGCGAGTATATTATTTTATTATCTTTTCAAATAAAAAATAAAGGGGGCTGAAGAATTCTTATGAGAACATATAATAAATCTTTTGAAGTAAAATAACAATAAAGTATAATATAAACTTAAAATATTTGATTAATTATTACAATTAGTTAAGAAATAAAAATACATTAATATATATTACCTAATAAAAGTTAAGATATAATTTTTTAATTGGTTATATACGCAAATGGAGGATAAAAAACCTAAAATTGGAAAATGGATTTAATTTTCCATCAGAAAAAATTGATGATTTAGCTGTAGGCTATTTCATAACCCTTACTCATTTATGCAATCGTAGTACGAGTATTTGTATGTTGTAAGTCTATCATACATAAAAGTCAATTACAATAAAAATTGTACCTTCTAAACAATGAACAACCCAATAATCATATTTAATAGTATAAGCCAAATATATACTATATTATTGTATATATTGTTTATAGATACATATACAATTATTAGTAAGGAATTAATACAAAATTACTTCTTACTTGATACTCGGTATTTCCATGTAAAGAACCAGTTTACACACATGTTCTTCATCTATTGAAGTACTATTGTTCATTATATTACTGGCCAATCTGTTTGTTTCTAAGCTCTGTGGCTCTTTCATAACTAGTTATTTTTTTATGTTGTCGGATATTATATTAATTTAGTTGATACATTCAGTTTTAATACAATTAATAGATTTATTAACAAATATGGTATTTTAGGTCTTACACAAAATAAAATAGGACACAATATGTACTTGAAATTTAATAGTTTAATTTGGACTAATAGCAATTAATAAGCTATTGTATTAAATTTGAATTGTAAATTAATTACAATCAAATGACAATACTTGCCTAATTTCCTACCATAATTAAATAATTTAAACAGTAATTGTTTCATTAAACACACACATAACGTATCAATATAAGATACTGACATAATGTTCTACGTTCACTTCATATCGTTCACATCTTTTACGTTCGTCATTCACAATATTGAATATTTCGTTTTTATTACATTATTTCGCAAGAGAGAAAAAAATATTATCTTTCAGTGATAAGCGGACCAATTTTTTGTTGTTTTAAAATTGATAAAAATAAACATCTATTACGTCATACAGTGTAACCAAAATAATCATTATTATTTTTTAAATGTTTTTAATGTTCTTTTTTGAGTTACAAAATGTTACCCGCGATCACGATGTAAATATGTTGTATTATACCACTCCATAGAACAATAGACTAATCGAACGATTGCCAAATCTGAACTTATTCTATAATGATAGTGGCATGATACGATATGGAGTATTATTACCCTATGTTCTACCCAAGGTGGATCCACGCTTTGGGATCTACCCCAGACGTTTAAAAACTAAATAAAATAAAACTATTTAAAACTTAATGAATGTATGCATTATTTACATCCCTACTGCATTTTATTTATCATTTGACTAGTAGTCATTACAGAATATTTTGAAATTTAAACTTTTTTAATAGGTACAAAAAACCTTTTTGAATTTGAACTGTATATTAAGATATACTTTAACACAGTCAGGTAATGGAATGGTAATTCATATTTAATTAAAATTCAAAAAATAAAAAGAAAGTACATATTCTATAGTTTTATAACTTGTATATAACTTGTATACTAATAACTTATATAGTCTGTGGCGTGATAGAAATAACATTAAAGTTATTTCTATCATGGTCTGTGGTAAAACGTAGTCCTCCTATCGAACGAAGCGTTTCTGGTGGCCGAATAACCGTGCAGCTTTTGTCGGCCCACTTATAGATATTTTTTAGTTTTTATTGTTCTGTGCTTTTATGACAGGCGTCTTATTCTGTGGCGTCTATAGGAGTTCCGCGTTTGGTCTCCTTATCTCTTATCTTCATGGTCTACCCCCAACAATTGGTATTTGGTAAACAGTAAACACACATATATATATATATAATAGTTATTATATAATATATATATCATCGGTGAGTAAACAACATTTTGAAATTCAATATCAGGATTCAAATAATTAACTGCCGTCTACCAAGTACAAATTGTTACTGACTCTAAGTGGTTATAACCGTTGTCTATAGACTCTTCTATTGTAATATATTCATTAAATAGTAATTACGTTTGTCTTTTAGTGAATACTGATTACTGACTACAACTGTCTAGTCGTAAAGTTGAAAGTTTGTAAGACGTAACTCGTTGTGCAATTGTTTCTTTTAAAGATATTAAATTTTTTTTTTAAATTGTACCTAAAATCTAATTAATGAAGTTTTAATTTTTATGGTAATCTGTAAATAATATAATTAATGATTTTCTCGTACTACAATATGGTTGGTTAACCTTGCGTATTTTATTTGATTATTTGAATCTTGTCGTCAATCGTTATCTTAAATCTATTTTTCAAGTGAGTACAAAAAAAAAACAAATTTGAAACAACCAACTAAAATAAGTCTATAATATAATTTAGTATCTTGGTTCATACTCAAAACGATATAGACATGTCAGCAAGTAGCACTTCATCTTGGTCAGACAAAAGTGAACAAAAAGTTTTCAAATGTAGCGCAAAAGCGGCAACAAAACACCCATTTTCCATACTCGTAAGACTTAAATTAAGATTGTATTTTAAAACATACCTATAAAATAATAATTTAAACAAGGAACTGTGTTACTTTACTGGAATCCTTTTTTACAATTTTTTTTAAGAGTTAAATAGTTAACTATACTGAAAAATATGGTGAAGTCAGAATTTGGTTGTTAGTACTTAGTTTCAAAGTTATAGCCTAATGAAGTCTGCTATTTTGCGATTTTTACGTGTTAGCACATCATTCTAGTTTACTGCGCATATTACAAGTATTTATGCTTTTTTTTGGAAATTTATGTACTACTAGTCGAAAACGATGGTACAATCAGAATTTGTTAGCCGTACTAGTAATGTGCAAAATCCAGGGAATGGAGTTACGGGAATTTCCCCAGGAGCATAATTAGTTTTTAAATATTTATCAATGTTTCAGTGTTAAATTAAACTTATAGTTGTAAATGATCCAAATGACAAATATTTTATATCAAAAAATATTACTACTTACAGAAGAATAAACTTAACACAGTTATACACTTAAATTTCACTATAAAATATGAGTGACATAAGTTTATATTGACTCCTTTCACCTACCGGCTCCGGTTGCTAAAGTCAAGGTCCTCCTCATTATTCGTAATAGGCACAGTAAACTGGAGTGATGCACGAATGCATAAAATCTCAAACTAACAAAATTCATTAGCTCATAACTTTGAAACTAAGTCCGTCAGCCAAATTCTGACTGAAAAAAAATTGCAAAAAAAAGGGTGTCTGACAATAACAAGATACCTTAAACAATCTTTTTTCTAGATGATTGGCAATACCAACTGGAGTACTCAATTGACAGAAGCATTGGTTGAATATCATGAAAACAACCATATTTCTAAAATTCAAGTGCACAGGGCACACAGTGTAAAATCAGCACTTTCTACCCTGTCCAATGTATATGCAGATCTTGTAATTATTTTGTTGGACATAAGTAAGAATGATTGTTTAGTTGATGTAAGTGAATATCTATTTTAATTCCTGAAAATTATAAATTATAACTGGAGCTAGGATTTTGATGACTTGCTTTTTTTTTTGCATTTCTTGTGTTCAATGCTGCATTTTTAAGCTCATTTTGTGTATTTAAACTAATTTTTGTTTATTTAAATTTTTTTTAATATATGTTGTATAGGTAATCTCAATTAGTACCAATAGTATCCTCATAAAAATACTACAACATAACATGATATTATCACTGTTATACCCGTTTTCGATAAAATTATTGTCACCTGTTGGTGAATCGAAGAAATTGAAACTATATTAATAAAATTTTATTTGAATTTATTTGTTTAGTTTACTTCTTAAAACAAATTTTTACATTTATGTCTAATAAAAAAAATGAATAAATAATAATTAATAATAACATTTATTTTGCTCATCTGAGTACCTACATTTTTTAAGAGTTATTAGGTCATTAAAATCCCAGCTTTAATTATAACAATAGTAAAATGATTAATGTTACTATATATATATTATTTTAGGTAGAAGTTAATTTATTAGCTCTGGAACCAGCATTATTATGTGGTAGAACCATTTTAGTTAACCCAATAAACAGTATTAAGCGAAAAGATATGGGAATTTCTTATGAAAATATTGACAGTCTTAAAAGAAAATATAACTTACTTATTATACATGGAAATATAGAGGCAAGTCAATTTTTTAAAATACATACATGTTCAAGGTAATAAGTCATTTATAAATTTATTTGTTTCAGGATTACATAAGTAGAATGTTTTTAGCAAGAAGAATTATGGTTTATTCCTACAAAATCAATAAAAACGGCTTACCAAATATTTTGGAGTTTAATTCAGTTGATATGTAGACTAGTAATCTAGTTTTTTGTATATAATTTATAAGTGCATTACAAATAAAACATTTATGTAAATATATATAAAGATTTTATTTATATACTTTCTACATTTATATCTCAATTAAATAATTAGTTAGCAACAAAATAATAAAAACAACTTTAGTTCTTGCTTTATTATATTGGAGAACTGCTGAATCCTCTATCGGCATAATGTTTGGGTAGAGTGCGGTCTGAAGTTCTTGGAAAACCTGGATCCCCTGGCACACACTGAGATCGAGATTCATGTATTCTCCATCCTGATTTTCTCTCCCAAGTCTTAACACAAAAATAGAAATATTATATAATTAATCTTAAGTCTTGATGGTAACAGTTATTAGTTATTACTTACTACAGATATTCATAAGTATTAATTATAAACATTTTTTTTATTAACCTCGTTGAATAATTTATACAACTTTTTGAGAATTGTTAAAGAAAAGTTAAGAATTCCCAGTGGTTTATGTATGTTATTAAAGAAAATGTATAATTGTATTAAATTAAAAATTAAAACACCTAAGAATAGAAAAATTAATATATATATACATTTTTTTTTTTTTTTATTTAATATGAAAATATACAACTATACAATTAAGCACAACAAGTAATAGTGATGAAGAGGATTACATAACATGAAATGGCACGATGTAGGAGGGCTCCCAATGGAGCTACCTACTTGGGTATTTTATTAATTAATGGAGGAGGTCTCTAACCCATTTACGTTTGAGCCTTCGAGGGGGATTGTCAGGGATGTGTAGTGAAGCAAGAAAACTAATGTTGGGGTTACTATGGGAGCTAAATTTTTTGTGGAGTGAGTGAGATGGGTTTCGGTGATAAGTGCAATGTCAATGTTTCGGCTGTTGAGGCAAAGAAGAAGGTCATGATAATGATTTTGTAAGCCATTTGAATTCCAGAGTAGGAGAGAGAGGGGTGAATTGTTTGAGTAAGAGTTTGTCATTTAACTAGTAGAGTATCGATGAGTTTAGTGAGTAGTGCAATAAGGGGGCTTATTAGGGATTGGAATTGGACTAGGAAATTTGTTAATTGGGTTGTAACGGAATCGGTATTTGGATTTATACAGGGATCGGTGAGATTTTGATTTTTTTTGGGGTGGGAGTGGGTATTGGGGAGGTTTTGATTTAAGGTAGACTGGGAGGTGCTCCATTGGGGTTGACAAAGTGGGGGAAAGTTATTTTCCTGAATGATGTTGGTTTTGATTGAAGTTGAGGAGGCGTCTTGGGTTTCGGTTGGCCTGTTGGTTTTGATTGAAGATCGTCCTTTCAGGATCAGTTTGAATTTGGGACAGCCTTTGTATGATGCTGGGTGATCCCCGGAGCAGAGGGCACAGGTTTCTGGAGTATTTGAGTCCTTTTGACATTCGGAAGAGAGGTGGATATCACCACATTTTACACATCTGGGTGTGTGATGGCAATTAGTTCTGGTATGTCCATAATTTTGGCATCTTAGACTTTGAACTGGGTTTTTTTTTGGATGAGGTGCTTCGATTTTAATTTTGGTGTAGCAAATTGAATCGACTTTGTAGATGTTATGGTTTGATGGAGTAGGTTCAAGGTCTACAAAAAATAATGGAAGTGGGTTTTTGGTTTTGTATTGAAGACAGTTTGTAATTGAACGAGTGATGAAACCGAGAGAATGAAGCTCTTCTTTGATGTAGTCTGTTGGTGTGGTATGATGGAGGTGGCGTATTACTACTCGGAAAGCTTTTTCTTCGTTCGATTGGTAGGTGTGGAAGTTCATATTATTATTTTCGAGAAATTTGATTATTTGTCTATATGCGTTAATTGAGTACGTCATTAGTTTTAATTCGGATGATGAGCTCTTAGTGTTAAACCCGTCGGGGTCGGTGAACGGTTTGATTTTTTTGCAGAAATCGAAGAAATCAATATCGTCTTTTATGTATATAGGCGGTATTTTGGGTTGAACGTTTGAGGTTTCTTGGGATAGCATTTCAACTTCGTTTGAATTTTCATATGATTCGTTGTTGGTGGCGAGGGCTGAGTACCGATTTTTGCTTGAAAAAGAGTTGGTTTTTTGTATTTTTGGATTGGGGGAAGTTGGAGAGGAAGGTGATCTAATCGGTACCGTTTGCCAATTATTTTTGTTGTCATTGCTTTTAACAATTTTAATTGGGTGTATTGTTGTGTTTGAGTTATTTTTGGAATTTTTAATATGACTGTGAGATAATGATGATTTCACTGGTGGATTCATTATAAAACAATATAGATTGGTAATTAAATTAAATTGGTGGGTAGATTGAGTAAATTAAAATATTCATATTACTTGGATTACAGCAGTGTTGATTAGCTTAATTATAAAGATAAGGCAGGTCGTTACGGCACTGTACGTCTACTCACGAGGAGTGCACACGTAAAACTGATATATATACATATAAACTAATTTACAAATATTTTAAGTAGTACATATAAAAACTCTTAAATCCAGAATTTTATTAAATTTTAGCTATAACTTACATTTGTGTTGTAAAGAACGTAGTATGTACCAACATAAATAATAGTGATTCCCATCAATAATTTGCCTGTTAAAAACCGTACATTGAAAGCAGCTCTTTCACCCTAAATAATAAAAACAATCTAATAAGTTATCAATTTATTATACATACAAATAATAAACAGTACCTTATTCATAATTAAACTTAAATAATACCAGTAAAAAGGGGACACATTCACTATTTAAATTTAAATTTAACTGAAGCAGTTATTGATTAGAACTTATATAAATTTATGTTTGACAGATTACTAAACTGATTTAGTTATGAACATAGAGTTTACATGCTGTTTATAAACTTTCACTGTGTAACTTTCCTTGAGTGATTTGAGGCACAATTCTACATAAACGTTAAACATTTATAAATCTAGGTAGTTTAGCAACCTAGGCACGCTTGGTAGTGTCTGTTTGTCATGAATTGAATATCAATATAAATATTTTAAAGCCTATTTTAATAAAATGTCTGTGTTAGTTTGATGAATACAAGCAATTACATACACTATTGAAGTGTAGATAGTAGACTACCCTACTAGTTGTAAAATTATTATACAAATATATATGCAAATCAAATAAGAAATAAGTTGATACGTTTTTATTCAGTTTTTTAGAACAGTATACTTACAATTTTTGGGGCCAAAAACTCTTGAAATACATTCATGGGGACTCTGAATGCACGTCTAATTGGATTGTTCAATTCTTCATATATCTCAGGGACAGCAACTGGTTCATCATGAGACAAGTGTTGATCATGTAAGAATTTTCTACGGAAAGCTCTTTCTTCATCTGTCATATTAGTAAGTCGTTGTCTTACAAATCTATGTCTTCCTTCCAAATCTATTGGTAATGTACCACCAGTTTCATTGGATGGGCCACTAGGGGTCACCCCCGAATTGTTGCTATAAAATCTACGTAAAACATTCATTTTTAAATTTTTCAAAAACTCTTATGAAAACTGAAAACTATTTGAAAAAAATTTAGTCTTGACTCTTGAATAAGTAGTTGATAAGGATATGACAGAAAAATAAAATATTGTAAAAGGTTATCGGGAGAAAAATGATCATATGGCACTAATGTGACCAACATTCTTTTGAAAATGTAATCACTAATCAGACTGGGCAATAGAATATATTTATCACTGGGGAAGAACCACAGTATCTTAGATCATATACAATGTTTATAGTATAAGTATGGTATGCTTATAAATCCATCATGGTTTAAAATAAAGTAAAATAAAAAATATTTTAAACCGTGATCATAATTCACGGCATAGACTTTATACTAGACACTAGTTATACTATGAGTTTAATATAAAGGCTATGGGCATAATCGATAATTACGGAACAAATATAACATGAAAGATAAAACGATTATTTTACCTATAATTGTGGTGTATGCAATGAATCGAGATAGTAGATTAATTCGATAATTATTGCTATTATTGAAATCTTGAGTTTGAAATTAAAAAAAAAAGCATTAATTTCTTAAATGTGATAAACGCCCCTCTGCATGTCGCCTACTCGCCTATGAAGTATTTATTCAAAAAGAAAAATGTCATTGCATTTAATAGAAATATAAATACCTATATGAGCATATGACTTCATTCAAGTTACTTTAATTGTTTAATGATTACACTTTATAGATACCTACACGCAGTTCTTTAAGTGCGAACAATTTTGAAGGGGAACTATAGTCACCGTTCATTAAACAGAGTTCCGAGTTCTTAGCATAGTCTGTACTATTTAACCAAACTGTTTAAAGAAGCTTGCGAGTTCTAAACCTCCATAATTTTTTTCTTTCAAACGTCTATTTGTTCATAAAAATCAAAGAGTTTGTGTAAATAGGACGTAAAAACAAATTTCCCACTAAAAAAATGAGGTTACCTACACATGAAATGCCTGCTCAGTAAAAATAAATTGCAATTCATAGCTGAAATGTTAAAAAAAAGTATTATAATTTTAAAGTTGTTCTAGTTTTATATATTTCATTAAAAACAAATAAGAAGTACCTAATTTATATCATAGAATACCACCACCACGTTATACATTTCTTGTTGAGTATCTCTCGAACTTTGGACTTAAATTAAAGAGGACGTATAATCTTGCATGAAATGTGAAAGAGCGATAGGAGTTCTCCCCCCCCCCCTATACACACTCTTATTACTGTACCTACATATAATATATTATTATTATTATTTTAATACGGGTCCAAGAAAATACAAAAGTATGAAAATTTTCAAAAATAAATTTCTTGTAGTACCTATTATATCATATAAAAATAAAATAATAAGAGGATCAGACGCATGTAGGCAAGACTTTTGAGTAGCAAAACAATTTGACCAACCATAATTAATGCATCTACATTAAAAAAAAATTCATTCAAATCGGTCCGGCCGTTTAGGGGGAGTTCAGTGACATGCACACGTACAGTAAAATTAAACATTAAAAGATTTCATAAATCTACTAAACGTGAGCAAATATTTCATGGAATTCAAGAAGCAACAAACGAAAAAAAATTGAAAATACCGGAAACTATCGATCAATCATGCATGTAGTCAAAGAGTATTATAGATCGATTATTTAGGCATGTGAGCATAGCACACACTGACGGAGCAAGTCTTATTTCATTAGCGGGAAGTATTCTGTTAGAAATCACCCAATCAAGTTTTTTTAATAACTTAAGTAATTTTAGTCTTCTAGATGAGGCTTAGGTGCAGTAAATAATTTAAACAAAGTTTTACAAAAAGAAAATTTACACCTATCATTTGTACCTGTTGTCCTGTTTTAATTTCTTCTTTAGTTGGTCATCTTAAAAATATTGTGCGCATCAAATGACGAGAATTATTCAATTCACAAATGTAAAATACATTCAAATATGTATATGCAGTTTGCGATAAGTAGTTGAAAATGAAAATAAAATAAAAAGTCTAAAAGAAGCTAAAAAATTTGTTGATACAATGATAGAACAAATGCGATTACGTTTTAATGAAAAATCACTAGAAATAATTAAATTAAGTGCTTTATTTGAATCATTTAAATCTTCAATTACGATCTCAGAAGAAGATATATTGAAAATTTGCTTATACTTTCCTAGTCTTGAACTAACCAATATTTGGATAGACCTGAATTTATTTAATTGTGTTAGAAATAGTTTGGTAGAAAAAAACGTAAAAAACCCACGGTCATACATTTAAAAAAGCAAATAGATATTGCCGTATTGGGTATGTACATAATAGAACATTTCAAAAACTGGATAAATGCTTAATGTTGGTACCAGTTCAAACGACCACTGTGGAGCGCTCTTTAGTCTTACAGCACGATGAATAGGATTATGAACAAAATAAGAAATAGAATGGGACAAGAAACTTTACAGTCCTGCATGAAAATTAGCACAGAAGGACCCTCAGAACTCGATGGAGATACAGTGAATGAAGTAATTCATTTGTACGCACGTCAAAAGCAGGGCCGGATTCGTTTAATCTAATTTATTAAATACATAATATTGATAATATTAATAAACATAATACATTCCTATATGGGTTTATGACTTAAGATCAGAATGCAATATCATTAATAATATTATTAAATGTTATTACATTTTTTTACTTTTTTAGAATTAGATAAAGAATTTTTAAGAATTTATAATTTATGTATTCGTAGGTATCCATCTAATACCAATAAATTGGGCTTAAACCGATAGTTTTACTTCCCTTCATTATCTATTCCTAAAGTCTAGTATAACACCTTCAAAATGCACGATACCCCCCAGAAGATATAGACTCAATCATGCCAGTGCAAAAAGATTGTATCTGCATTCTGCATGATTGTCAGATTGTCAAACTTGCAGGTACGTTTGTACTGTGTAACCACATTTATACCGTATGATAGGTTTCTGTATTTATAAGATGAACAGCTCTTTGCTCATATCTAATTATTTTCAAATACCTATTATACAATAATTATTAATTTCCAAAATACAAAATAAAAATACTGATAAGGAATAAATATTATCATATCAGTATAGGTATCAAAAATATACGAACAATCACCACAGAATAATAATAATAATAATAATACAGTATAACAACAATAATAATAATTATTATTCTGTATTTCTGTGTTTATTATAATTTAGTATTTTAGTATCACAGTAGATTTCATCTGTTCAATATTTTGATTTTTGAATTTTGAAATCCATTCTGTGAATTGTGATATTTCGGCATCAGTCATTTTGTCGCTCTTTCCGTAGAATATAGATGATATAGTACTCGCGACTCACCTCTGTCGTGTCTGTCGCGATAATATCAATATTCTGATCTATGTGGTCGACTATCCGGTGAGACCAACTACAAGATTTTGTGCCGTTGCAGCTGCTGAATTAGTCCGTTCGCTGAGAACGTTCTAATGTGCCAATAACGAAATCTTCTCGCTTGAATTTTTCAAACTATAAAGAATTTTTGATAGTGATCACGGTACACTTTTTGTCTATAACTTTTTTTCCTTTCATTATTGATACACAATCTGTACCACCAGGCACAGTGAGAGTATGAGCAATATAAAACAAAAATAAAACTTGAGCAACTTGATGAAAGAAGCCACCCATTGATGACATTTTCTTGTTTAGAACTAACAATAATTTGGTTACAGTTATTAGATATATTCGTTGTCTTACCGTCAATGGTTTTGTGGATGCTGTTGTCTTGACATTGGTGTGCTGGTACCTACATCATCACAAGGACGTATCATGGCTGGACGTTGGAATGAAAACAGTTACAATGCACCAGCTGCCGACGTCGCCAATTTCAGAGGTGCTGGGCCATCTTCAAATCAATCCCCACAGAAGATGCACGGTAACGAGCAGATAAGCTTCTCCAGTTATGGTGTCGGTTCCACGTCTGCAACACCAAACACTTTTGTCTCGCCAGAGGTTGAACACATTGCCAGACATATTCAAAGTATTTGGGCAACTTGTGAGTGTCCTCAACATAATACTGCCATAGACTTGTTTATTATTGTTATTAATAAAAACTTAATTTATGTTAATTGTATACTTAAATAGTTTTTTTTTTAGTTGACACAATTGTATGTGTTTAATTAATTATTATTGTTTGCAGGGAAACAAAGTAAAGTTTTAACTGATACGTTAAGAAGTTTTTTTAAATCCAGTCCCAATCCATACAACTCCTTATTACAATTGATAAATGTCATATCAGAAGACAGACTCAAGGGTAAAGCTAGTACAATGGCTCATACAAGTAAGTAAATTCAACATTGATTTTAAATTACCTAGTCTATTATATTAAAACAATTTTATCAATTACAGTAACTGAAGAATTTTACAAATGGATAAAATGTCATGAAAGTGAATATGAACATTTTTTAACGGATGAATTAAAAATACGAGCATTTAAAATGGTACTTGAAAAGAAAATAAGCTTAAACACAATAAACACCATTGTTAAAATTTTCAAGTGTAATACACATTTAGATTGTATGGAAGAATTAATCAGGGAATCAATTAAACAAAAGAGATTTAAAGAGGCAAATTATTAATATTGGATCATTAAAATATTATTGAAGTGCTTAAGCAGTATTTAACATTGCAAATTTAATTTACAGGCCTGTTATGCTAGTATGAGTTTAAATATACAAGATAGATTTACTGTAGAAGATTTTTTACTTCCCTTGTTTTTCATGAATTTGGTATGTGTAACAGAAGAACTTTTAGTGACCTCTCAATTTCAACAAACAGCTTTGGTAAAATATCTTGACGATTTATTAGTAGAAAATGATGATTGCTTATACTTCTTAGCCAAGTAAGGATTTTAATTATTTAATTAATATTTATTTTTCAATAATCTATTGTCTAATATTCCCAATAATTGCAAAATATTATTTCAGTCGTCTTAATGTTACACAATCAAATAATAATTTTTCTAATAAAAGCCAAATCAAAACCAATTTATCACGGATAATGAAAAAATATAACATTCCAAACGAATTGGCTCCTAACATTACTAGACAAAAGAAGAAGGGGGCATTAGTATACTTGTTTCGTCGTTATCAATCTGGTGCTACTGGTAAATCACAGATGCAGGGTTATGTCTAAGCAATATTATCATAACTTTTATTTTTAAGGTATCCACGCTTGGAGAGAAATGGCCTTAGAATCAATTGGGAATGATGAAGCAATGATGATGGAAGTTGTCAAGATGTTAGATAATTATGGAGACATTCAAGAGTGTATTTATTTTGCCCAGTTATTTGCAATTGACCCATCATTATTGCCATCAACCATACAACAAGAGTTACTTTTCTGTGAAAATGCGTAAGTTAAAATTTAAAACTGTATGTTATGTACTAAAACAATTTATTAATATATTAATATGTTATTGGTTGATAGGAGTGCTGGTATTGATAGATCAATACCAACTGAAGAATACAATACTACAGAATATCATGACTTATCCTTGCCTGATAAACAAATACATATAATTGATTGTGCATCAAAGTTTAATGAATTTTTAGATAAAATTAACATTGAGTTATTTGATGCACATTTGGATGTTTTTGGTTTGGACTGCGAATGGAAACCAGAACTGACAAGTGATAAAAGTGATTTAGCATCCATTCAGCTAGCTACTATTGATTCAATTTACATATTTCATTTACCACAACTGCAGCCAGCTGAAAGTTTTAAGCTTCATTGGCAAGAATTTTCCATGAACATATTCAGTAATATAAATATATTAAAATTAGGCAAGTACGCATGAAATATTTATCGATATTCATCTAAAAATTTTTATAGTATTATTAATATAAAGTCAAAATAGAATCTGAATTCTTATAATTTTATTGCTTAGTAAGTCAACATTTATGTTAGTTGTGTATTATTGAATTATTCATTACGATTTTAAACTAATTAGGTTTTGAATGGAAAGGAGATGCATCTATGATAAGATCTTCATTGCCAATTGATAACATACAGCTCCACGGGCCAGGATTTGTTGATATTAAATTGTTATGGAAAGAACTAGAGACTAAATGGAATTTTCAGCTTCCATTTCAAAGTATATATAAACTCTATATAAGTTCTACAATTTTAAATATTTCCTTAACAGGATATCAACACACTATTTATTTTTTCTCTCGGCCCACCAGCTACATACCAAATTTGTGTTTAGCAGAACTAACCTTGGGCTAGATAAGAATATATTTACCTATTCTCGAACTTTAAATTAAGAAAATTATTTGTGTTTGTACATTGGCCATTTTATGATATTTCAATGAATATGTAAGTTATGTTTTATGTGTATGTAAAATAATAAAATTTAAATATGCTCATATCTAATGTACTAATACAGAATATATTATCAACTTTAAGTTTAATAATATGTCAATTAACTTTAATTCTAAAGTTAAGGCACAAAGTTGGTTCTCTTAACACAAATTTGTTATGTCGTGCATAGGTCAGAGAGATAAAACAATAGTGTGATGCTAGTTAACATATTTATACTTGATTAAAAAAGTATCAAAATATGATTGATTTCATGTTTAATTAATTTTTCAGATCCAAATGAAGACACACCCTATAATAGTCTTTCGGATTTAGTGAAATTATGTTTTGGAAGGCCATTAAATAAGACTGAACAGTTTTCAAATTGGGAAAAAATACCATTACGTTCAAATCAAATTAAATATGCTGGTAACTATATTAAGAGACTTTTTAAATGTTAAATAACTCATCTCTTTATTTTTTAGGTATATAATTTGAAATCATAACAAAATTAAATATTTTTTTATTTTTATGTTTTTATAATATTTATGTCTTTTTGTTTTTTTCATCTATTGATTCATAAAAATATGGTTATATTCCAAGGTACAATGTTTGATTTGTTTAATATATAAACTTAAAAAACCATATACTAAACAAATTTGAAATTTGTGTGCATATGATTACATATTATGTCATATTCAAATTCATATTTTAATTTATTGGTCATTAACTTTCGAGTTCTAAGTACTTACAATTTATTATAGTTGAGCAAAGTGATGGACCAATATTTTGCGGAATATCCCTGTGCTACTTCACTCTGACTCTTCTCATCTAAACTTTAAATAATTACTTATCAGTTATAACTAATACTGCTAGTTTTGAAATTCTATTTTATATATTTTTAAATTATTTTTAAAAACAATAAATAATTAATATAAAATTAAAAGTGTATGTTGTTAAAAGTCAAAAAGTAAACATTTAAAAATGATTATAGTGAAAAACTTTATTTTTAAAATTATGTTACTTGTTAGTGATATTTGAAACAATAAATGTCTTGTGTTAAAATAATTATCTTATATATTATTGATTATTGTTGTAAATAGATAGATTTCTAAACAAATTAACAATTAAGATAGCACAGAGTTTAAAAACTGTTATTGTACAATATAATTGAAAAAAGTTGTCGTTTTATTTAAAAATAGAGTAATATTTGAATTTAATTTCAGCTCTGGACGCTTATTGTCTATTAGAAATTTACAATTTATTCAAGACAAAATGTGAAACTAGTAATATTCCATTTGATGAAGTGTGTCAAAAAATATCAAATAATGACCGTCCGGATATGATGAAACCTAAACCAAAACATAAAAGACATAAATATGTATGTAATAAAAATAGTAAATACACCTAACTAATTATTAAATGCGTATAATGCGTATAATATGTATCATTGAATCATCTATTTATCCATACATTTTTTTGATTTTAGAAAGTACCAACAACTAATATAAAATCTAAGTCACCTCATACTCATGTTTCTGGTGTTAAGCATTTCAAATTTTTGGTACCGTACACTTTAGAGAAGCTAGCTGAACGTTTACGTAAATGTGGTATTGATACTTCCATTGTTGAAAGATCAAAAATAAACGATTGCCATTACATAGTTAACTTAATCAAAACAAACAATTTACATTTTATTGCTTTTGGACATGCATTTTCAAAGGTAAGACTAGTATATTTAATACAAAAATAGGAATAGAATTATGAATCAAATTTTGTTTAGGTAGCAGAACAATTACATACTGGCCAATGTTATTGTGTTCAAAATCACAATTTGGATGACCAAGTACAAGAAGTGTTGAATTTTTTCAAAATTGTTGTTAAAAAAGAAGATCTGAATAGCCGTTGTCAGGTAATTGTTTAATTGTCAATATAAATATTTCAACAGATACTATGTATAGGGATTTTCAACCATTTTAGGTAAAAAGCTAGATTTAATCTCAAAAGTAAAAAGATATATAAAATGTATTACATTTATTGTTAAAACTTAATTAAAACTAATGCAATACAACAAATACTAATTAGAGGATGTCAGCTCTTTTTCTCTGACCGCAGCATAGCAACTGTGACTTATAATCCCTTTATTTATACTAAACAACTTATAACAATTACAGTAAATATAGAGAAAGTGTGTCCAACACACTCATATTTTATTCTCGTCCTTGAAAATATTTTATATTTACATTTGTATTGTTTCAGATTTGTAATAGTGATAGTTATGAGATTGTTAGCAGCTTGCTTATGAAACAAATTTATGATTCTGTTAAAATAATACAAAATCAAAGAACTGTTAGATATAGACCACCCTCTATTGACGAAGATTATGAAGAAAATGATTTTTATGGAGATGAAGATGACTCGGAGGATGAAGGAACAAGTGTTCCAATAAATGCAAAATGTTTGACCAATAATTCATCAAAGCCTGATGATCCTCAGAGTAAACTTATAAGTGGTTATACTAATGAAAATTCAATGATTGATGTAAATACTTAGCAATTCATTTACATACCTATATACCTATATAATAAAAGACAGTAATAATAATTATTTTTAATTATAACATTTCAGGTGAAACCACTATCGGCTGATATGTTTAATGACCAAAATCGTATATTTTACATTTGTAACAATTGTGGTTCAGTCAGGTGGGATAACTTACAATGGGAGAGTGCACTTGGTAGTAGCTTAGGAATGAAGTTTAAATGAATTATTACATAATATATCTTATGTAAAAAATAAACGTTTTTCAGTACAGATTGGTATTTTTAAAATAATTAACAAATTCAACTTAGTTATAACTAGCCTTTTAATTTTTACTGTTCCATAGGTTATGGGTTTGCTGTCCCATATAATTAATTTTTTTCCTGCATAAAAACTTAGTTTTACTCATCATTTATTGTTAAACACATTTTTTTATACTCTTATTCAAAAAAAGAACATATTTGTGCAGAGCTCAGTTTTTGTTGGCGGATTAGGTAATGCATGTCTATCGCCCCCACCGAGTACCATCTATATGACTGTCGTGTAGTGAAGCTCGTATGCTTAAATCAGCTGCCAAATACGATCTTATTTTAATCAGAGTATAGTTTTCCTAATTTTTTCTTATATAATCAAATTTAAAATTAACTGTGATCATTTTATATAATTTATGACTTTTTATAAATATATTTATGTTGAGCCTTTTTATGTGATTTTAGTAGTTTTAAAATGTGTCAACTTACATATTATGTAACATAATTAATAAATTATCGTACTTTGTCAGTGTTTACATTTGGTATTTATATTCACTTTTCCCATGTAATAACACATTTTAAGCTAACCATTGAATTTTGTAAAAAAAAAATGTTATTATAAAAATACTTCAGTTATTTTATATGTGTGTATATATAATTATCTTCGGCTTAAAACGAAATTTTTGCTAACTAAATATAATGTCCTAATTTTCGTGTTTTCTTACAAATTTTATTAAAATTCTAAGTTTAGAAGTTCATGAAAAATTTTCTGGATTTACGCTCAACTGTTTTTTAAATTGTTTTTTGAAAGAGCAAAAAAATTGTTATCGACTTGAGTTAAAAAAAAAACAAATAATAATCGAAAATTTCATATGCCTATACATAGTTCAATACGAATCAAAATATTTTGAAAATGTTATGGTGTATAGAAAATGCTTACGAAAATATTCAGTGAAAATTTCAGGTATCTACGGTCATTTTCGTTATAGAGTTACCCCAAAAACCAAAATCAAAAAATGGTTTTGCTTAAAAATTCCTGTTTTTCCTTATTACAATTTTGAAAACTATTGGTAATTTTAAATTTTAACCTTCCGAATGCACAAACTAGATTCACTTTCCTACCAGAAAAGTTGCTGATGAAGAAAATCAAAGCACTTTTATTGCAAGAAACCGTGATCACAGACAACCAAAAAAAAAAATATATGAAAACACACATCATTGTAAAATCAATACATTCATTGCTCCGCTCAGAAACTAAAATGGTTTACAAAAAATTTTAAGCTCCATAATATTTCTGTTAAAATATTAAGAAAATGTAATAACTATCATATGAGTGCCATACTTGTGCTAAATTTGAGCTTTAGAATTATAATTTTCGCTCCTATAAACTTAAAATGCTTAGGAAGGCTTCACAAATAAACTACTCTTTAAATGTAGATTTAATGTGTCTATATGTTGATAACAGTAGACTAATGATAGTAGACTATCATCTCTGGTTGTGTGCTTTGCAATGATCTTTTCCTACTAACTAGTAACTACCAAGGTATTCGATATTGTATAAACATAACAATGAAAGAAAATATTTTAATATTACCAATACAAAATAAGTTTTTTAGTTTGTAGACTTTAATCTTTAGTTTGTTCCCAATGTAAATTTTTATAAGATTTTTTGTTTGATTCTTAAAATGCATTCGTCTTCGGGCGCCCATGCTTCCTTTCCTTTTTTTTCTGTAATTTTACTCTAGTTAATGTTTTTATAAACATTTCTTAAACTTTGATAATCTAACCTTCAATGTGCACCACCTAGTTTTCAAAGTTTATAAAATTTAATATAATTAAATTGAAGAAAAATTGGGAAGGGGAGCATGGGCATCTCAATTCAAATCATTTGAAGTATCAAAATAAAAATGTAATACAATTTACATTGGGAACAAACTCTACAAGTCTAAAGACCGCAGTCTACAATCTCCAAATACACAAATCGAAAATGCTATTCAAAATAAATAGTTGGTGACACACTGATTTTTTTAATGAACCAGCTGGCTTTTAAAGTTTAAGATACGGATATAAATAAATTAACTTGAATGAATTCGATGAAAAAAATTGGAAGGGGTGTACTAGCGCCTGCAGGCCAATGCATTTTCAGAAGCAATTTTAAAAAAAAAATTTTGTTGGTGATACCATGAATATTGAAGTTTCAATAGTAGAATCTCTCTATTCTTAGACCCATAACATTATTTACAATAATTAGTTATGAAACAATGATAATTTAAGGGGCACTAGCTGTTTTTCAAAGTTTTAAAAAAAACACAAACAAATTAACTAGAATTAAATAATATTAAATAAAAATGAGAAACAGTGCACGTTCGTATGCTGCAGGCAAATGCATTTTAAGAATTAAAAAATAATTTATATTACGAACCAACAATTCTGTTCGAATTACCTAGGTACTTAGTTTATTAAACAATGATTATTTAGAAGACACAAGCTGGTTATCAATGTTTCAAAAAATGTATATTAAAAAATCAACTATAGAGTTAAATTATAGAAAAAAACTTAGAAAATATAGAACCTATCCTGTCCGATACTTTGGAGAACCAAACTAATGGTCTATAATCTGTTATTGTTTTAAAATTTTTTCCGGACAAATATGGTCTAAAGCGTTTGTTACCAAAAACTGTACTTAGACACTCTTTTTCGATCGTAAAATAGGTAATTAATTTCACTCGTATTAAGAACCCTGGACGCATATAGAAGTGGAATCTTCTCCGACTTTGCCTTGAGATAATGCACAACCTAAAGCGTAATTAAATGCATCCGTCGTTATTAAATTACCTTTAAGTTTTCCAAATTGGTGAGGGTCCCCCAAATGTTGTGGTCTTTTTTGGTAACCCTGTCAAAGGTTCCGCGTTTCCTCAATAAAACGCCTGTAATATCCTGTAAACCCTCAAAACACTTTTAAATGTGTTGTTTTCTTGGGGACTGGTACATTTTGGTGACAAAATAAATGAACTTATGATACCCGAAATGCAAAACCTCTACAGAAGATTAAAACTGCAAACTTTCAATTTTGACTAATACAGAGTAGTTGTCGAATTTCCCAAAGAAAACCAAATTGCCTTCCACTCATTCCAGAACAAAGAAACCAAACCATACAGGATGTTGATAAAATTTCTCCACCGTTCTACATTCTACTTATCATCCATAAAAGACGAACTAACAGCCTTTGACTTCCAACCAAGAAATATTATGAATGTACTTCACAGATAATCTAAGTCACCACTCCCAATGTTCTTTATCGACTTAAATCCGGAATCCAAATAATAACAACCTAGATATCTTTATTAATTCTACATAATTGTTATTGTAACATCATCAACAATTTAATTCTAGTCACGAGTGTTTTTTTTTATATGTTATTGTCTTCAATGCTGATATAGCTCTAAATAGGTACTGAATGTTGTTGAACAGAGGATCCTCGATTTGTTGACTTCACGTATAAACAAACTGTGAATATCAACAACTGATAATTGACTGGTACTTACTAAGTACTTATATTCCTTTCAATCGATTTGGATTAATCTTTTTACGCAGGACGCATATAAATTCAGCCGGGCAGACTTTCAGAGTGATGTTTCAATATTGATGTTTGAACGCCTAGAAAAATTGATCGCGTGTAATTTTTGTAGTTATAACAAATTTTTAAACGAAAATGGAAAAGTGGAATGGAAAAGTTGCTGTTGTAACCGGCGCTTCTTCTGGGATTGGAGAGGCGACTTGTCGACTACTGGTTGAAAAGGGAATGGTAGTTGTTGGTTTTGCTAGAAGAGAACATAAACTCGAGGTAGGTACGTTGCAGCTGTGAATTAGAATAAAATGTTAGGTTTAAAGAAAATGTAGGTAATGTATTTAACAAAACATTAATATTTTTAAACAAAATTTTTTAGCACTTTTTTCTATTTTGTTTTACAATTTTTAGTTGATTTTCGATTTATCTATGATAAAATATCGTTTGCAAGTAAAATATTAAAAAAATTAAAAACAAGTTTCTTAATAATTTGTCCTCATCGTTATTAAAACAAATTGAAAATGTATCAATTTTGCTTTCGTAAATGTTTGAAAATGTAGTACAAAATTCCTCATAATTTATTTTTCGGAAACAGAAACATTTCATTTTCATAAATACATTATCAAACACATTTTTTGTAGACTTTTCAAGTTCAAATTTTGAGGAAATTGGGCAATTAAACAAAACATAACATCTTTAGTTATTTTATTAGAATTTTATTTCAAAAAATGTACATGTGAATACTTGGAACTATTCACTTTGGTATATTATGTTATTATTTGGTATGCTTTATATGATTTTCAAATTATTTTGCATGATTTAGATTGATTTATAAAATATAAATTATATCACGAACCTATCCAAGCTGGCTTTTTTACAGTATGCCGTTATGTAATTATAATTAATAAATTAACGACACCTAGTAATATGATATACTATATAGAATAATATTATAATATGATTTGTGTGAATTATTTTTGATAAAAATGAGTTCAACCTTACCACATTACTTACAGAAAAATACATTTCAAATGGAAATTAAAATGTATAAATTGTATTGATATTTCGTAGACAATATGATTTATCAATGAATTAAAATTCAACACTTCCCATGGACAGTTGACTAGCCGACTAGCATCTAATTTCTAATATACAAGAGAGTGACCTGAAACTAGTATAGTTTTCTTGAACTTGTAGGTTGTTCTGAGTAGGTATATAACAGTACCTTTATAATATGTGTATAATTCAATTCATTTTTTCAGGATTTAGAAAGCGATTTGAAAGGAAAACTGGGTAAATTTTATTACATTAAAGTTGATCTGTGTTCGGAAGAAAATATTTTGGAAGCTTTTAAGTGGGTAAAGAAAACATTGAAATCAGTTGACGTCCTAATTAACAATGCAGGGGTTTTGAAGCAAACCGACTTCTTAGGTAAATTGGATTAATTTATTAATTTATAATAGTTCGGTCGTTTCCAAAATTTGAATGAAATACATTGATTAACTGCATGTATTACTTATTATGTAAAAAAATAGTGGCGTCTACAAGGGAATTGTAATAAACTTTTAATTTATTAAACATTGTACGTTGATATTAATTTACATTTTTTCATCCACTATCTAGTACCCAATGTTCTTTAGCAGACATATTTTCACCATCTATAAATGATAATATTCGTTAATGTCTGACATGACAAGCGTGTCTGTTATTTGTTAAGCCAACTTTGATGAAGCTATTTTTCAAAATTGTTTTTTTATAGGTAATAATATAGGGAGCTATATTTTGTATGTGGGTACAATGTACATTTCACGTTCATAATAATCCGTCTTATTCGAGGAGAACAAATAAGCCATCTAATATAAATAAGTGTAGGTATTTATATAATATAATTTACCATACGAATTATCATCAAGTTAATTACAAATCACTGTATTAGGTATTCTCACAGCGTTCGAGCAAATATTTCTACAGTTGTATTTCAAAATATATTTAAATTTATTTATAAGTAACATAATTTTTAAACACTATGTTGAGAAGTATCAGTTACGTATAATCAATATCAATAAAATTATACTAATTTTCATATCATAAAATGTTTTACCAACTTTTATACTTACAGGGAACACAAATGATTGGAAACAAATGTTTGACACAAATGTCATAGCTCGAAACATTTGCAGTAGAGAGGCCATCAAAATTATGGAGGAATTAAAAACTAATGAGGGTCACATAATAAATATTAACAGGTATTTATATACATATAACAAATCCAATATGGTTTTAATCAAAGAATATTTTTGTCATTAAATTTAAAGAGAGATTAATATTTATTACGATACGGTTGTTTTTTAAAAATGTATGTCTGTTCCATTTGTTATTTTCTTTTTCATCGATCAAAAAGCCACTGATTTAAAACCAAGGTGGTATAAACGGTTGGTTTGAACTTTGAAACACGCAATGTATGTGTGGCAAGAATTCTGTTGCTAAAAATCACGGTTCATGGGCAACTCCCGCCCATGTGTACCTACACTCTGCAGAGTATGTACGCAACTGAGTGTAGTCACCGCACCATACCAACCCACAATTTATTAGTTATAACTTATAAGTTATTACTTAAAATATGCTTTGATTGTATTGTTATTAATTTATTGAATATTTTCAATGGCCCTAAATCTCAGACAATGATATAATTTATACTTACGCTCCTGACAATGACTTAATATTTACTACTAAGTACTAACGTAATATAATTAACTTTTGTTGTAGTGTTGGAGGTCATTACCAATTTTCACATATGAAAGATATTTCTGTTTATGTCGCTACCCAACATAGTGTTACTTCAATGACAGACAATTTAAGAGAATTGATGGGCATGAAAAATTTACCCATCAGAGTCACGGTATTTTTTTTGTTTTTAGGTTTATATAATTATATATACTATATCTATATGTTGTATAAATCAACTATCATGTATATCCGTCTTTTCTTGGTTATTAATCATCACTCATTAGTCATTACAAATTAATGGACATGGTAAACGATGCTATATATTGATTAATAAATTGGGTAACAATTATTTTTTGAACTCATTCTTTAGTTCCTTAATTTGTTGATGGTTAGACATGTTTTTAGATATTTTAATAAAATTAGGTAATATTACTTAAACCGAAAATTGTCTGTAGTAATGTTTAAGAACACGACTTTTAAAACGTATTTTTTTGCAAAAATTAATGTAATCTACTGTTTTACTAATGCTTACTAGTAAAATATATTACATTAATGACAATAATATCATCAAATGTATTAAATTACTAAGTAATAATATTATAAACGGACTAACTACGCTTATAATCGTTTTTCGTATACAATGATTTTATATCATTGAATTCAAATTTAACACCATCCATTACAGTGACCCACTTGTAATAACTTAATGTGTAGCACAGCACCATCCACTTACTCGCTTTTTAAGTGTATATATATTTTTTAAATATATCTTTTTTTATTTCAGAGTATCAGCCCGGGTGCAGTAGAAACTGAAATAACTAAAGACTTGGGGATGGACAAATTAAAAGGAGTAAAGATGTTGAAATCTATTGACATTGCGGAAGCTATTTTGTACGCTTTGAGTGCACCACAACATGTTAACGTAAGTTGAATATAGTTTTATGTTTATAATGTTAAGCACAAATTATTAATACTATATTTTTACTCATCAATGTTCTTCACACTCATTATAATTATTATAGGAAGTATTATACTTTTATAACGACGAGTTTGTCACCTATATAATTTGGTGTTATATAATTATTTCATGTTATCGTTTTCTATTTTAGTTTTCTTTACTTACATTAAAATGTTCTGTTCACTTTAATTGTAATGTTCACGTTTCCACGAATTTGAATTTCATTTTTTTCAGGTCTCTGAAATAAACATAAGACCAACAGGCGAGAATATATTATGTTTTATTACGAATAACCTTGCATACCTAGACATCAATTAGGATTAATACACATCCGAACCCTCAAGTATCAACAATGTACTCATATCTATGTACTTCAGTGTTTAAGAATAAATAATAATAATATGTAATAATATTATGTATGCATATCCTATAGATAATTATCGATGTATTTTATTTAACCTGATTGACAACCATGAACTAAGCTATTGTAAAAAAATTCCATCCTTACATTAACGTAATTCTATTAAATCTTAAATAGGTATCATTTAAGTAGCCGAAGTGGTATCAATAGAAACCCACTTGACTCATCGTCAACAACTCAATATACACTTATCACAATTTATTATTGTAATTCTGTATTAATGGAGATTGTACATTGTCAAAATAAAAATATAAAATAAACCCTTTCAATATATTATAGAAAGGTATTAGATATTTTGTTTGTTTTATTATTGTTAATTGTTTTCCTTTAAAATATTATATGTACACGGTTTCTTTATTGTGTTACTTCGAGTTTTTGGGATTTTTAAATAAATAATTAAATATAAAATTACAATCAGTAATTCCTACCAACTTGTTTTCCATAAAAATGATTTTGACTCTTGATTTCCTTACTTATTTGTTACTAAGAAATCGATTTTATTATTTTGGTGTAGCTCTAAAAATATAACCGTGTCGTAGATAGGTACATAAGGACATAGAAATGTCACCGAATTTTTATTTAACTTTTGAAATGTTTTGACTCGTTTTGAGCTATTTATATTTTATATAGGCATAAGAAAATTTCGATTTTTATTAGTTTTTTTAATAGTTATTGTCCATAAAAACTATTTCGCTGTCAAAAGACTTGAAAATTCAGTACAAGGTTTCTCATAAGTTTTTGTTAGTGGCAATAAAATAAAACGTTAAGCATAAATCCACAATATTTTCTTATGAGTGTCTGATGTTATATATATTGACAAAACTCGTCAAAATCAGGAACATATTTTGAATTAAAAAGCCAAAAAGGTTCAAGGTTAGTTAGAAACTTTCTTTAAAATCTTTCGATTCTTTTTGTGCTATTTATAGAAATTTTGGTATCGTTGGGTCAAAAAGCTTGAAAATTTAATATAAGATTCCTCACACGTTTTTATACATAATAATAGCAGTTTAAAAATATAAGAAAATGCATAGGCGCATCCGTTACGGCTTCCCTTATAAACAATTACTCCACGTCTGTACAGCAGATCGGTACCCACTTTCTCAATATTTTATATAAAATATAAGTGCTGGGGGAACCTTGTGATTTTTATTACGAATAATGAATATGCCCCCCCTCCCACAAAAATCTCTGTCTACTGCACTGTTTGGGTTTGTGTTCGTAAAATAACGCTTTCAGGACTAATACATTACGAACCCTGTTCGTCGAGGAACCAGGACTACGGGGCGGAGAAAAACAGTCGATTTACAGACTACAGTCCACATCACTATTACTCGTAACGACTATGTGCCACCTGGCGACGGCCAGCAGCTCAGAATTCGGGCTATGCATACAGTGTCATGCTTTTTGTAGTGATTTTAATTCATATGAGCGCGTTTCGTGTTATTTTTAAATAATAAATAACAAAATGTGTTGTATGTACTTTATAATAGAATATTATTATCATTGGAATAATACGTAGCATATTATTATTATAACAGCCGACACGAACGTTATTTAAACTCACTACGAATACAAAATAGTTTTAGTTGTAGAGAGAGGATATTTCAAGCAGCGCTCGTATCTCCGTCAGTCACATGCGCGAAAGGCGAAACGGTCCTGGTCTCTGGGCGAACAGGATATAGTTAAATTTTTATAGGGAAAAAATGACTCAGACCAACTCTATCGCTAATAGACAAATACTCTTAAAATAAAAATAGACTGGATGACAGTATTTAGCTCAGAATCGTTTTTGATACAATGATTTCCAATATATTGTGTTTTAAGTGTGTTAACAACAAATATTGTTGGTGTCTTTCTTTGTATTTTTTAAACCTATTCCTAGTCATAATACGAAAACAAATATAATACACAAATACACACATTGAAGATTGAACTATAACATAGGTAATCTGGAAATTAAATAAAATGATTTAGAAATTTATCTTGATTTCTGAAAAAATCAGGGGGATTTTTTCAAGATACTCGTATTGTCAGGTTTAGATTAGGAACTTTTAGGTCATAAATGCATTTTTCAATATTAAATAGGACATTTAAATCCGAGCCCTGTTTATCATTGAATTCATATTTAATACATCCTTTTCAGTGACCTTAATGACTAGGTACATTTTAAATCTACTTTACAGCCTAGCACCTTTTCTGGGTTTTTATTTAATTTTGCAACAAATAGCGAAATAAAAAAAATAACCATGGATTATGTAATTTTATAATATAATTTACAGATAAATAACTAATAGTTATTTGATTATTATTGATTTGAAAGATGAGGGGCCATACAATTAGTTGTATAACGCAAAAGTTGTAAATTTGTCATTAATGTAGTTAGTCGTCTATAGTGTCGTTCACTGTATGCCATTAATCCTTGTAATTTTTCTTGATTAATAGTTAATTTTCCCATCATGATATCTTCCAGCAGAATATTTAAAACAAGCTAAAATACATTTTTAATTATATAACAAACAGTTAAACTGTAGACAAATAAAAATTGTTGCTAAATACTTGTGCCGCGAGACAATATTTTCCATTGCTATTCCAATCAACTACATAGTTCAAAAGTCTTTCTTTCTGTTCTTGATTGATATTTTGAAATACTATTTTTAAATCTTGCCCTTGACCTTGTTTAGATAAAGCTATACAAATGGGATAGTTCAATATTCATTAATAAAATATATGTTAACCACTTTAACCTTGATGTAAACAAACTTTGTATTATTTTTAGAGCTGTGTTCGGCCTTTCTAATGTAATGGACATTTTAAGTGCTGGTAATAATTGTTCATTTTGTAACAAGTTTTGTAATTGTTGGTCTTGTAACTCTTTAGTTTGGCTAGCAGCTGCTTCAGAAATTCTCACTTCTTCAGTACGATCATGCCAAACGACTAATCTTGAATCAGAACCTCCAGTCACCATAATTGAACCATCATCCACAACTTGAAAAAATATTTATTAAATACTAACTACTAACAATGATCAAAAAACAGTAAATTTATTTTTCTTACTTGATAAGGCCCAAACTTTAGATGAATGTTTGTCAAGTGTAGCAATACATTCACTAGTTTTTAGACACCAAATTTTAACTAGGCCATCACCTCCACAACTAGCAACTTGAGTACCACGATTTAAAAAACCTCCTTTTAATACTGACGAATCATGACTCTCTAAAGTCTAAAATATTAATATATCAAATATTAATTTATTAATTTTTAAAATGTATCAACTATAAATTTATTTATTTTTAAAATGTAAATAATTTTTTTCTCTTTACTTTAAGACAAGAATAATCAGCCATTGACCATATTTTCAAAGTAGTATCTGCCGACGATGATAACAGTACTTGATCTATAGGAGAAAAGCGTACACACCATACACCTCGCTTGTGGCCTCTGCATATTCCAAGAACTGACAAATCATCTGCAGACCATATCTATCCACAAAACAATATATACATAATGGTATTTAGTACTTTGCAATAGTCATTTAGAAACCAATTAGTTATTACTTTAATTAATTTGTCCTGAGAGCCAGTAGCAATTGTCTGGTAGTTAGGTGCTATGCAAATACTATTTATATCTTTTTCATGTCCAACTTCAGTTAATTTGACACTCAATATATGTTGCTCATCTTTAAAGAGGGAATATCACAGCAGCATTAAAAAAATATTTTTTTCAAAATAATTATTGGTTATTTCTATTAATTACCACTTTTGAATGTTTTTGGGAGTTTCCAAAGTTTTAATGTAGTATCTGTACTGGCAGAGACAATAAACTCTAAAGATTTAGAAATGGCTACTGTATTTATTGCACCTGTATGCCGGGATCCAATAGCAACACATTTAGCTGTCCTGCTAACATTACAATATAACCATACTCTAATGCTATGATCCTAAATACAAAATGTTCACAATAATACAATCTAAAAGATAGTAAAATTAATCAATTATATTCTTACTTTACTGCTAGATATAAGAAAGTTTTTATAGGAAGCTAAACATAACACTGTATCTGTATGTCCCTTCAGCCGTTTACAACAAACTCCAAGTTCAACTTTATAAATTTCATTGTCATCACTTTCAATTTTTTTTTTATGCCATGGAAATATGTAAATATCACAGCTATTAATAGCAACAGCTAAACTACGACTGCATTCATTACCCAAAAGTGCGACATCAAGAATTTCATCGTTTGAACCAATCAACTGAAAAAAAATATATATTAATTTTTAATTTATTAACATTTTAATTAACAAACCGTTAGTTTTGAATGCTGAGGTCCAAAACTTTGTAATGTAATTGTATTATCAACATAACAAATCGCTAATGTAGACCGAGTTTCATTAAAAATCATATTAGTTATGCTTTTTGTTGATTTTATAGGTTGACCATCAGCATTTTGTTCTTTTAAAATTGGAACATTATTTTTCACGTCCCATATATGCAACTCGCCTAAATATTAAATATTATTAGTAATTAACATAGTATAGTTTATAAGGTAAAGTATAGTAGCAACCATTTTCTCCTCCCACAGCAACACAAACACCGTTAGGAATGACATGAGTATTTTTTAATTCATTATCTGAATCTTGAAGATAAAAACCATCTTCAGGTAATACTACCATTGTTTCCAAACAGTCATATAGGGCTACCATTTTTAACTGTGATTTTGATTCTAGGTCCCATAAAATAACAACTTTGTCTCTGCCACAACTTTTTAATACACAATATAATAAAAAAAGAATATTAATATATAAAAATTAAAAATTAATTTTGTCTGACAATTACCTTATAAGATATTGTTTTTTGTAGAATGCTAGTTCTGTTACAGTACTAAAATGTCCTTGTAATTTAAATAAATGTTTCCCATCATTACAACTCCACACATGGATTTCACATTGCATATCAGCAGCAAACAGCCAATATTCTGAATTTGGTAGTTGCAAAAATTTCAGGGCACTTACATTACCTTGTGCTCCATGCAATGCATGTAAACAATGAGCTTTTTCTGATTGCCACAATCTTATAATAGAGTCAGTCCCTCCAGATGCAATGATTTGATCACTAGTAATTGCTAATTTTATAACAGGACCTTTATGAAGATGACGCCACGATTTGGTTAATTTTCTTTCTAAAAATCAAAATATATCAACAATTTTATTGAATACATAATAACTAATTATTATTTTACCATTCCAATCCCATGTGCACAATAAACCACTCTTGTGAGAAGTTATTAGATTTTTACTGGTTGGATCTAGAGTAAATGTAATTACAGAATCAGTGTTCTCATCTTCTTCATCTTCTTCATCGCCAGTTTTAACAGATCCAGTACGTTGAGGTATGGTATCAACTAATGTAGTTGTTTCAATATCCAATATTGACACCCGAGGACCGCATTGACATAATAAATTATGGCCATCCGGGGTCCACTAAAGGATATAAGAAAAATGATGATCAGTGTAATACATACAACATACACATATAAAAACATCTAAGGCTAGTATGATATTCTCATAATTTATGTTTTATTTTGAGAGAAACTTTTTTTTTACAAGTTAATGCATTTCAGAAATAGTTCTAAAGTAATTTAGTTATAATATTTTTGAGAACACAAATAAAAACAATTAAAATGAAGATGATAGTATTACTACATTTTGATACCGATAACAATTTAAATAAATTATAAAAACATAATTATCAATTAATTAACACACCAAAGTTGTAATAAAATGCTGTAAAGAATACAAATAAAAAACATTCTTTTTAAATATAAAGTAAATTATTTTTATTATTAAAATGTAAATGCAAATTACTTCAATATGACCTCCGGTATAAAATTCTTTTTGCACATATTCAGGTTTAAATCTGTAACATTATAAACAGAAATATAAATAACATAATAAATAATGCTGTATTTGTATAAAATTCAATATTGTAATTTATTGAATGTGTTGTATTCAACTAATATAAGTTGATTTGAACATGGTTCCGGACTTAATTATATTTTTGTAATTTTGTTAGAATATTTTAGATAAGATGATAATTTATTCGGTGAAATCAGAAATTGATGTACCTTGACAATTGTTTTGAATATATTTGTCAATTACGTCATATCTTACAACCATATTATTAATGTTGTCAAATTCAAGCATTTAAAACCTATTATTTATAAATAGGTAATAAGAATATTGTTCATGAGTTAACTGTTGTGGAATTGGGAATATTAATGGGTTAAGGCATTAAGGATTTTTGGACAAAAATATTAGTTAACAGAAATACAAAAAAGTATATTTAAGTAAACTCAAGATAATTAAGCAAACCTATTATGAAATGTGACCAACAAATTATTACAATGTAATTACTAATTAGTGTTTACTGTTTAAACTTATGAAAATATATAATCCATAGCAATAAAATATACAGTGATTTGGATTTAAATTGAATAGTATAAAGGTAAAAAATAATAATAGTGAAATAGTTGTATTGTTATAAAAAAGCCATTTGTTTACTGAAATCATATCTAACAAACTAGTTTGACAGGACTGTTCCAAATACTAATCTTCTTAGAGTACGCAAATAACTATTAACTGCAACTGTCCTTCAAAATGTATAATATAGGTAGATAGTACGGAAATACGAAACTGGGAAAATCTAGTCGTATAAAACTGTCATAAAGACATCTTTAAATGTAAAATATATTAAATAACTTACATTTCTCTTAACTTAATAGACATTTTAATCAATCGTCGGTAATCGTCAAGAAGTCAACCCAATAAAATAATAAATATAACTGTACTTATTTTATTTATAAAATTCATGAGAGTAAAAAAAAACTTCAAATTTTTGCACGTGTTCTAATTTTGAATTGTGTATATAATATTTATTGGATGATACATTGATAGTATGATAAGCGTTTATCAATTTATCATAATTTTTCCATTTGTTTTGTTTATATTACAATCTATAGGTTACAATAAGATGGTTAATGGTTACTGTGTTTTATTTATTGGGCTCGCCTAAAATGTTAGAAAATAGAAAATTATTTGTTTGGAACTGTAGTTTTGTTAAAAATTATTCCATATGAAACACATAGCCACATAAGTATTGTTGGAATTGTAATTGTATTGAACCATCACTTGTCTTTGGAATAATAATTCATTTGAAATATATTATGTTAAAAACGTATTTTTAATTTTTATACATAATATTAAGTAGCCTTATTGGAACTGGAATATACTGAACAATAATTAGTTGGAACTCACAGAATCGTATTTATTCGGAAAAGTTATGTTAATGGAAAGTATTTCATTGGAAATCTATATCAATGGGTTTGATTTTAATATACAAAATGCACTATAATAATATGTACACCATATAGATTTTAAGATATATAAACATACATATTGTTGTGATTATAATACATGTCCACAACCGTGGTTATGACAATGTCCTTCATCTATCATGATGTTGATGTTTATGAGTTTTTAAGGTTAGACCACGACTACCAAGGTGCTTTAAGTATGCATGGTTTGTAAACTCACTGGCACACCGTCTACAACTACAGACTACCAAGTACTAACTACTGGTGTGCGTCCGTAATGCCGAATGCGTATAAACTATTAAGATATTAGATAAACAGGCAAACAGCCATAAACAATTCACAAATTATTAACAAAGTCAATACTCTATCTCAAGTCTCGATTTACGTTTTCCCTCTACCTACCTATTTGCCGGCTGTTCGGTATTCGGTATTTCAGTAATTATTGTTTAGTATTTACGATTTACTAATTTTCTATTTTTTATTTTGTTTAAACTATAAACGTTGAACCTGAGAATTCAAAGTAGTCGTTGCCGCTGCATTTAATATTACTTCAAAGCACAAACTTGATATAATGGGTGAAGACAAAGGTAATGTTTGAAATTTGAATGATGATTATACGTGATGAGTGTATGTTAAATGTATTTAATTGCTTACTTATGTAATTTTATTTTTGTAATTTAGAAAGAGAACGTGACAGAGACCGAGGAGAACGTGAGAGAGAACGAGGTGAAAGAAGGCGACGTTCGCGATCAAGGGACCGTGAACGTCATCGCAGACATCGGTCAAGGAGTCGCGAAGGCCGTAAACGTAGTAGATCTAAGTCACCTAAAAATAAGTCTAGACGTAGAAAGCCATCTCTCTATTGGGATGTACCGCCGCCAGGTTTTGAACATATTGCACCCCTTCAATATAAAGCCATGCAAGGTAAGATATGATATATAATTAAATAAGCAGATAGATTACATAGTTAAAAATATTAAATTATATTAGTAAGTAGCTTATTATTGGTGAGTAATGAGTATATCACTTATATACATACCATATTGTAATTAAATCTACTTATTCAATTAAATGTTATTAAGTGTATGTATTTTGGCTTTGTCAGAATAAAATATTTAAATATTTAAATACTTAAATTATTTTTCAAACTTTTTTTGTGGAAATCTTTTCCATATTTTAGGATTTTTTAAATCAAAATATAGTAAGTACCTACATAATTGTAATGTGTTAATTAAAATGATAATAGCTAGGTAAAAATATAAATTATAAATTTCATGTTACATGTTTCAATTAGAAAAGTTATTTTTTATTTTATTAATAATTCTTAAATAATATATATACCTGCATGAATACTCGATATAATCGTCTTATGTTCCTAGAGTCTGTCTATCTTTTATATTTATGTATATTGGTATACTTTTAACAGAAAAATATATAATAATCTGAATGTATTCTCTGTATGAGAACTAAACATTAACTTATACAATAAAACTTATTTAAGATGGAATCTGTTAACATTTAAAATTAAGATTTTTATAATAAGATTATAAAAGTTCTTTAGAAATTCTTCTATTAAAACAAGGATATTATCCTTAGTGACAGAGGACGCAGTGCAATATTTATATAATATTTATTATGTAAATAAAAAATATATAAATGATTCTTATCGACAGGTTTCCATTTTTTAAAGCTAAAGTAAATTTACATAACAGGGTAATACATCTCTTTCAATAGAAAAAATCTATCTGTTAAAGTATGTTTAATACATTTTGTATACATATTATTTATTAATTTAACTATCACTTGCTGGTAGACTGAAATAGATCCAACCCCACAACAACAGTACCAATTGAATACTGATTCAAGACCCGTAATCCCACTAGTATTGTGACTATTTGCAGAATATTCATAGTATCTGATTATATTTATGTATATAATAGATTAATAATATACTGTTGATAAAATCAAATTACTTAAATATGTTTCCTCTTTTCAAAAATAAAATGTATAAATCTTAATTAATATTAATATTAAAAAAAAATAGTAAGAAGTACTCTTCCATTTAACTAGACGCTTAAACATATTTTATGTATGTACTTGCATATACATTAAAAATGTTTGCCCTAAACATGAGTCCCAAAAAGTTCACCACCATTTCGACACATTATTGTTTATAATATATATATTGATACTAATTATAATTCTACACAATAGCCATATTTTGTTCTGAACAGTTTTTATTAATATTATTTTTTGAATGCTTAGTGAAATATTCAAATTTAAATTATTTGAGTTTATATTTGTTTAGCTGCTGGACAAATTCCTGCAAATACAATGCCAGATACCCCTCAAACAGCTGTCCCGGTTGTTGGATCTACTATTACACGCCAAGCAAGACGATTGTATGTTGGAAACATACCATTTGGTGTAACTGAGGTATTATTGTCATAACTTATTATTTTTACGCTGGTCTAGGCACCCAATCAACATTTACCGTTTTACCATAGGTTTTTAAAATATAATATTGTATTTTATTATAATATATCATAAAAATTGTAAAGAATATAATGTACTAGATATGTGCTATTTCACTCTCGTTGTATGTCAGTGTTCAGAATTTTAATTTTCTGGTTATTTAGCATATAAAATAATATTGTTTAAGTAAAACAATTTCTCTAGTAATTATTAACCACATTTAAATAACCATCTAATCCATGGTGGAGTAGTTGAATATTTTGAACTACTTGAAGTATTTGATATATTGTGGTATTAAATAACGGGTTAGGAAATAACTGGGCTCACTGATAATATTTTTTACACTAATTTCCCATTCTCATTTAAAAACTACGAGTATTTGTTTTACTTGACACCATTACATGAAAATATATATACAAACATAGAACAGATGATAATTTTTCCTTAATTGATTTCTGTAATCAGGTAAATAAAAAAATGTAAAGTTTAAACATTTCACTGTTGTTTAAATATTATCATTTCAATACAAAATTACATATTTGAATAAGTGTTTTTCATAAATTTGTTGATAAAATTTTCAAATTGTTTTCTCGACTAAAAAGCTTAAAAGTATAACACAGGATCTCCTGGTAGTATTTTTAAATTTGTTTGTTAAGTATTTTTTATGTATCAATGGTTGTGGTATATTAGCACAATTTATTATATAAAGGAATAGTTTTTTTTACTTATGTAGTTACAAGTTGATGTTTTGAAATATATAGTATACTAAATTATACCTAGATCATATTATACTAGTAATATATGAAGTGTCGACAACTTATACTAATTAACAAAATACAATTTTATATTATGCCAAAATAATATTAAATTGTATTTTGTTAATTAGTGCATGTAAGTTGTTGACACTGGTAAATGGCATACCTTATCTTACCGACCCTAGCCGGGCGTCTAGACACTGTTATTTTCAGTGTTAGGAACTTTCACTATAAAAATGAATTCGTTCAAGTTCTTGTTTTTTTTTCAACTACACTCGTTAATGTTCATTGAAAAAATGAATGTGTTCGATGGTTCGTTTATTTAATTTTTTTAAATTTCTTATAATAGGAATTATAATGAGAAAATATTATTATGTAATGTAATTAATCAATCTATTTTAAGCATATATTTATTAAATTTTAAAGAAATTGAGCATCTTAAAAATTGTTCAAATTAATTAAAATATAAATGTCGTTTAAGTTCAATTTGAAAAAAAACAAGTGATGTTTGCATATCGTTCACTAAATATGAACAATTTTTGTCCCTGACATTGGTTATTTTTATGGACTACAAATTAAAATATTTTTAATATGTTTTTAAGGATGAAATGATGGAGTTCTTTAACCAGCAGATGCATTTGTCTGGATTAGCCCAAGCTGCTGGCAATCCTGTACTTGCTTGTCAAATAAATTTAGATAAAAATTTTGCCTTTTTGGAGGTATGTGCACATTACATTTAATGGTAATATCTAATTGAATGCAAATTAAAATTCTATCCAACTATAGTTTAGATCTATTGATGAAACTACCCAAGCGATGGCTTTTGATGGTATTAATTTCAAAGGACAGAGCTTAAAAATAAGACGTCCACATGATTATCAGCCAACACCTGGAATGACGGAGAGTAATCCTGTGACAAACTATAATACTGGAATGACATTAGACATGAGTATGGGAAACATTTATTTTATCAAGGATCAAAATGTAATTTTTTCTTGTTATATAATTTGTTATAGTGAAATATGATTCCAGTTCATTTGGTGTTGGAACAGTTCCAGGTTTGTATTATACCTATTATATAAATAAATACTTTTACTCATTAATCATTGCTCTTTTGTAGATTCGCCACACAAAATATTTATTGGAGGATTACCAGCATACCTTAATGATGAACAGGTAAGGCATTTGAGTAGTAAAATATCCAGCCCTTTATTTTTAGCATAATGGTCCATCATTAGCAGAGGTACATTAGGTCAATACCAAAACATGGAACGAGAAGAAGCAAAAATAGTGCTAATTTTTTTTTTTTAATTTTCAGCACATAAATTTCAGGTT